CCCCCCCCCCCCCAAAAAATCAAACGATTTCCAACCTTTGAGGTAACCTTATCCGATTGGTTGCAAATTTTAAAACCTTCGAAAAACTGTGTTGTATCGCATCGTCTATCGTTTTTTTGACTGAAAATGCCTCATCTGAACAGCGATGCATATACCTATCCGAGCAATCGCGATACTTTTCTATTGATCTGAAACATTTCGAAATCATTTTTAATAAACTTTTCTAGGAGAGGATAAAAATTCTACTCACTTGCAAAACACAGTAATCGTAAATGTGGTAGGCATATAGGAATCGCAATGCTTGCTCACTTCTTGTTGATGGTCCCTCTCACAGTTCAAATATTCGTTGGATGCTGAAAAAACCGGAAATGATGGTTGTTTTTCGCTTCTCTCACACACCTCTTGTAGGTTTTCGCATCAACGCACAAAACTTTTTCCACTGTTCCATAGATGAAAGAAGGATGGCTCGAGCACTGTCGCGTGAGCACGAACGAACGCATGTCTCCCAGCTTTTGACTCGTCTGGAATTACGAAATTATTGAATTTTAATTTTTGATGAGAGAGCTCACTGGCAAAGAGCGCGGATTTGCTTGTGAGCCGATCGATTGTCTTCTGTGTTAGCAATGATCTTGTGAAATGGGGCCAACATTGTTGTTGTTTCCGATGAGCCTGAATTTAAACTGTAAAAATGTTCTGAAAAGTTTCATCAGCAGGTCATGCAAATTCGTTAAAAAGCAAAAATCTGGATGCATGACCAAAAAAAGAACCTACCGATACCTGTTATCTCAGCAATCGAACGATGAAATTTTGTCATACATACAGCTGTGCAGTACTGTGCAGAAATCGATGAAACTAAAATAATTTTGTTTTCCAGATATGATAAAATCAAAAAAAAAAACCTGTCAACAGCAAAATGCTGTTGATGATGTAAAGATTCATGTGTAGACCAAGATCATGTCGAAGTGGAGTAATAACAACTAGAGTTCTTTATTCCGGTGTCGTGCTTCTTTTCATGGAGGCGTTGTTGTACTCTGTTATATAATATTCATTGCGCGGTTATACACAATTAAAACATGGGCACAAATTCAAGCGGAACAAAATGTACGAATCTGTCAAGAGCTAGGAGGAAAAAACGAGATGAAACAAAAAATAGCGAAATGCGTGTTAGAATGACTAAATGAGTGTTTCGCAATTAGAAGCACTATCAAGATTTGGATCTGAGTTGGAAAAAAATAACGAGAAAAAAACGACTTGGAAGGAAAACAGAAAAAAGTGTTTATGATATTTGCGGATAGACATTTTTTCAGCGGCAACATAGATTATCCGTATTAGAAATCTATACACTATTTTCTATTATTAAATAATAAAAAAACAGTGACGTGGCAAAATTTCTAGATAATAAGCAGAATAATTTTGATGTAAAATAATTGGTATCAAGGAAAAGCGTAAAATAAGAAAAAAGAAACGTGGAAGAAGCAAAGAAAAAAACTAATGAAGGAAAACATTTTTCATCAAGATTCTAAAAATGAGGAAGTTCTTCTAGATGTTGAGTATGTGCGTAGGAATGTTCAAAAATCGGATGAGTCACAGTTCTAGAAAAATTTTGAATATTTCCAAGAATGAAGGAAACCGGAAAGTTTGTTCCAGGAAGTCACATTTCAACATTCTGATGGTCTGCAATTTAGGCATCTGAAAAGTTGTCGTGTTTTACTTTTTTGGTTTTTTTGAGTTTCAAATAAGAGAATTGAAAACATTCACAAGCTATGTGATTGACAGTACAATTAGGAAAAACAAAGAAAACGTTTTTTTTAAATGACAGTATAACACTTTTCAAATCAGTAGAGAGAAGTTCAAAAGAGATGTGAACATTGTGCCCCCTCCCCCCCTAGATAACGAAATAAAAAAATTTGCCACATCATCTCGCCTTAACCAAATTTGTGGGTGTGAAAAAATATGGACCACCAAAAAAAACCGAGCTAACTAACCAGTCTCTTTTTCTTGGCTGCTGACTTTCTCTTTCTTTCCAGAAGCGGATTTTTTTTTGCCGTTGGACTTGTGAAAAAAGCAGTCTACCACGCACAAAACAACAAAAGATCCGCCTTTTTATTCGTTCAACACTACTCGCACTCACAATCATGTTACTCATTCTTTTCCTTTTTTCTGGATAAAAAATATTGTAAAGAAGAAAAAAAACGAAGAAAAAGTGGGAAGCAACAAAAAAGAACATCATCTTTGATTATGGGAATTTTAACTGGGTGTGTGATGTTCAGAAATAGAACACTGGATCACTAGTGGAATTAGGATTGAAGAGTGAAAAATGAGAATTGTGTATCTGAAAAAAATGAAGAAGAAAAAAAATTGTATTATGAATAAATCTAGTTAGAAAAACCAAGTAAATATGTATATGCATTCAAATCTTTTTTTTTCAGAAAAATGAAAAAAAAAATGACTGAACGGACCTTCCGGAAGAAGCAACGGAAATGAATGTACATCATCTATGAAAGCTGGAATTCTAGAGAAAGCAGAACATCTGACACACACAAAAATATGTTCCCTTCCTCACCGTGATTCCAAGTGCTACTTCATATTCACTCTTCGGCATTTTTTCATATTCTAAGAAGAAAGCAGAAATCTGAAACGAAAGAAGGCGAAGAAGCAAAAAAAACATAAACTTGGCAGTCAACTTGGGCGGCGAACTAGTTGTTATTGCTTGCATTCTGGATAATGAAACTTTTATGAACTATTTCACGTCAAAAAAAATTTTTGGGCCGCCTGTTGAATTCTAAAAACTCAAGTTTTTTCTCCGAAGTGTAGTGAGAAAACTTGTCGGGCAGAAAAAAATTTGAAAAAGTATTGCATTTCACACTGGCCAATTGAGAGAGAGAGGAGAAACCTCCGGGTTATTAGTTCAGAAAAAATTGCAAGTTGGAATATTTGAATCATTGAATAGAAAAAAAAATGAGTGAGAGAGTTCATGGAAAAGAAGTGAAAACCAAAAGTAAGCAAAAACCACATTCTATAAGCTTAGAATTCTTCTAGGTCGGTAATACTTGATTCTGATCCTTTGGAAACCTGGAACTCAAAGTTTGTTCTTTTTCACAAAATTTTGCTAATTTTTGGTGAAATCCATAGATTTTCTTTAGTTTCAAACCAGAATTCGTCGAATTTTTGATGAAGTTTTTGATACTTTTTGAACTAGAACCTAAACGTAACACGGTTGTCGGCTTCACATTACTAGCACCTTTAACAAATTTCATAGCCTCCGACTGGAACTCAATTAATTTTTTATGCAAAAAAAATATATACTAGTTTAGTTATGGAGGCTGGAAATCATATAACATGAAAACATGCAGTACCGGACACAAATAGGTCAGATTTGGATTTATCCATAGAGGGGGCAGCGTTTATTAAACAAAAAATAAGCTTCAATTTTATGATTGACTTTTTTTTGAAAAAAAAAACATGTTTTGAAGTGGCGTTCATTTCAGTATTGTTTCAAAATTTTGACCATTTTAAGCACTAACGACCTATCTCTTACAAGTGGAGTTTGACGAAAGATTATCATTTACAATACTTAAATTCTGATTTTGTTGAATATGGTAGTTATTTTCAAAATGTTCGAAAACGAGCCACCTGGAATTCAAGATGAACAGAATCCAAAGGTCATTTCGAAACAGCTGGATCATATGTCCAAACAATTTTTTTTATAAAATCCAAAACTCGTAACTAAATCTTTACGAAGTATCAATTTCAAGCCCATCATTTTTTGTTCAATTGGTTTTTTTTTCAAATCTAGTCCCAACCGGAAATGGATCTGAATAAAAGTGCAACTTAAATTGGAATAATCCGACAATGTCCTGAAACATCTGACTATCATGTACTATAATGTAATTGACTTGATAATAGTTTCGTAATCCTTCCTTTATACTTTTTATGCCCAAATTTTCTTTTTCCCTCTGCCCTATTCTTTGTCATTCCTCAAAAAGTGGCCCTTGACAACTGCATCTAGGTGAACCGCTAAACAGAAGAGTGGTGCTCTCCACGAGCACTAGTTCAGTCGTGTGCCCCGTTTTCGTTCTCTTTCTCCAACTTTCGATGTGCATGCTCGCCACAGCCACCGCATAGCAACCATTCCTGCCTAGAAACAACGAGAAGCCCGGCCGTGTTTGTGACCACACAAGGGCTACTGCCGTTATTATTAGTGAAAGAGAAAGAAAGACCCCCTAAACGCGAGCTACACACTTGCTTCAATTCGTATTCTTCTTTTTTTGTTTCTTCTGACCAGATATTCAATATGGGTGGTTCGTTTTTTTTTTGTAGCCTGATGAAAAAGACATTCATTTCCTGTTATTCAGATAACGCCGACCCGAACGAGCCAGTCTATCCATGCCCAATCTGTGGTCGTAAATTTGTCAAATCTAGCTTGGTAAATAGTTGGGTCATTTTTAAAGACACTTTTTCTGGAGTTTTTCAGGAGAAACATGAATCCGCTTGTCGAAAGCTTGCTACTCTGCACCGTAAGCCATTCGATTCGGGAAAACAACGTGCCAATGGAAGTGACTTGACCTACGCTGCCATCAAAAAAGCTCAAAATGAGAAAGCCAAGGTAACAATAGGACTAGTTTCAGAACCAGATACACTGAAATAATTTCCAGAACGGCGGAGTGTTTCCAAGACCACAAACCAATTGGAGAGAACGTCACGGCAACTTCATCGACGCTGTTTCCTCGTCAAAACGTGTTGACTACGCTCTGAAAACGGGTGCACCGCTTCCACCACCACCGAAAACTGCAGTTCCAAGTGGTTAGTTCCATGTTGCAAGTTGCTCAGAGAGCAGGTGAACTAGGCACGTCTCGCTAGTGGTCATATGATTTTTACTGCTAGTATGCATATTTTAATGTTCAAGTGTGTTTGAGAAAGAGGGAGAAAGCAAGGAAGGGGGATGTAATGGTCCTTGAGTTTCAATCAAGCGTGAATCGGATCTAAGAGTATAATTGTAACAACTTGTATTACTCAAGGAAATATCTTAAAATAATAGGAAATAGAACCTGATGTACGCGAATTACAAAAATGGGTTAGAATGTTTGAAAACTGTTGAAAGAGAGGAGCGTGAAATGAATGTCTTCTCAAAATTCTGTTTTTCTAAACCCTTCAAGTTGGAGGTGCCGTTTTTGTACCGGCTCAGCTACTATGTCAGAAGATTCGCTGCCGACCAATGTCAAATTAGAATTCAATTAATTTTTGTGTGTTATGTCACTAATTTCCTTTCCGAGTTTTTAGAATTTTGACGCATTTTAATTGGTATTTTCGGTCTTTTATGAAATACTTTGTATCGCAAAAAACAAAGAACAAAATCAAGCGAAACCTCATTTTTCAGACTACGTTCAATGTGAGTACTGTAGCCGCAATTTCAACGCGGCTGCTGCTGAGAGACACATTCCTTTCTGCAGGTAATTTTTACAGTCAAACGGAAGAGCACAAGACCACCTTCGTGTTCTTTCTAATAAACAAACTTTCAGAGAACAAACAACACGAAAACAAGGTGGCAAGTCATCTGCCGGAAATCGCGGGCTCACCAGCAACAACTACAGAAGCCTACCATCAAAACATGAAGTGCGGAATCCCTCAACATAATTAGAAATTGATAGAAAATGAAATAGAATCCACGTAATTCATCTTTTCAGGGAAGAAAACAAGAATCATCGAGTCGAAACGGATCTGCCGAGCGGAAAACAACCACAAGAGGAAGGGACGGAAGCCTATCGCGAGCACGTAGAGACGACTCAAACGACCTGACTAATAGAAGGAAGTATGTTGTGTATTGTTTTTTAATTGAGCTGATTTATGGTTCTTTTTTCAGATCGCTTGAGACACGATCTCAGTTGACTACGGGCCAGGCAAACAACAGAACTACGTCATTGTCTGCTGGAACTCGTCCAGCACTTCCACCAATGACACCAAGCAGCAAGTACGTTAAAAATAGATAGAATCTTGAGATTATGTTTAGTAGCGCTCATGAAGCAAATATAACTGTACTGATTGTTGTAAACATGGCAAAACGCGCATTCATATTGTGTCTAGCGGCCAACAACTCAGAAGAAAACAACTGAAACTGCTATATCCTGAAAGTAGAAACAATTGCACAATTAGAACATTTAGGAGAAGCAGTTCTGCCAAACGAGATCTTCCACCAAATCCCACCACACACCAACGTCTAAAAACGCCGTAAGTATAAAATATATTCCTGATTATAATTTTTGAGACGTGGGCATGGTTAACCTTATTCAGAATCTCCCTTGCCGAAAAAATGAGCCGATTGAACACCAATCAATAACCGCCTGCATTTTTGTTCTCAATATTCGTTTTGGTTTCATCTTTTGACAGCTATTTTATCCAAATCACATTGCTTATTTATCAGTTTTGTAACCCTCTGCTTGTATTGGTATTGATCTTTATGTTTCAAACAAAAAGTTTGCAGTTTATCGAGTTGTAAGATTGCTAGTCGTAATTTTTCCTATATACCGCTTTTCTAGAGCACCTAAAACCACCACCACCGCCAGTGCAAGCCGTAGTGGATCGGGAAGTTCTTCAAGGACTCGTACTCGTGATGAATCTCGTGAATCTCGTTTATCCCAAGCCAAAAGCAACAGTCGCAATAATTCTCGCTCCAGAATCTTCTGATTGGTTTCTTTCTCATTTTTTTTTAATTTTTTCTTTTAATACCTTCTTTTCATCGAATAAACTTTCGTATTCTTCAGACAACCTTTTTAAATACTTCCTTGTCTGCTTTTTACCGGCATCTTGAAACAGAGATGTCATAGGATCGACAAAGGTTTCCTAAATAATAAATCGAAAGTTACAAAAAATAAATATTAATTGCAGAAAATGCTTTGAGAAATGGTAACGAGTGAAATGTGATAAACCGACGAATCATTTGACACGAACAATCAGAATACTGTATAGATATGTGATGAGTGACGAGGTGCAATTTTATAACTCCGTATGACTTGCCGTCGGAGCTTGTGGTACCGGAGTTGGATCTTCCGGAACTTCTGACACTTTTGGAGCGGCCTGAGCGGAAGACATTTTTGGAGCAATGGGTTTCAAAAGGAAAACAGCATCAGGAAGGTAGTAGGCAGACTGAAATAGTTGATTGATTGAAAACATAATCATTCTGATAAAATATTAAGAGCATGGCGGGAAACAGGACCGCGGCACGGGCCGCGCCATGAATTTACCGTGGGCCCAACCGATCGTATTCTTGAAAACAAGCTCACATTCAGCCAATGAGAATTTTATTAGGGCGCTATGCCGCCGAATCTTTTCATCTCAGAAATATTCTAACCAAAAAGCCGCAGGCCTGTTTCCGACAGATATTTTTAAGTCGCTATAATAATCAATAATGATGTACACAGTTATTCAGTCTTGAGCCGCGTTGCAACGCATCTAACTGTCGAAACCTTCTAGTCTTCGAATTGGAAGATCGCTTGAGTCTTTTGCTTTGGATTTTCTACGGACGATTCGTAAGTTACAGACGATATCGCCCCCGCGACACCTCAAGTTAAAGAAAAACTAACATTGTTCATGTCTCCCTCGCACAAGTATGGGAGTCTCGTCCATCTGACCACATCGAAGTTGGCAGCTTTGAAGACATTGACTATCATATGATGAACGTGGTCTGCGTAGGTACGTCCTTGCACATTGAGATAGCTGTCTGAAAAAGTCAAATTGGAATAGGAGTCTCGTCAGAAGTGGAGAGGTGAATCAAGTTTAATTTCATTCTTTCGCATATCCTTCTCAAAACAGGAGAGTTTTTGCAGACCTCGCGCATCGAGGGTAATTCAACAGTTTTTGAACTCAATGCAACTACTCAGGCAAGATGAAAACTCCCACCAGCTTGAAAAGGCCGAAAAGCCTTGCAGCCAGGGTAAATCTGCGGGATTCTTCATATCGGTGAAGCTTGTTCACGCCTGACAAGTTTTCCATCTTGTCCGATTACTTAGAGAGTTCCGACGTAATTGCCAACTCAAGCTCTGAAGACATGGAATGTCTAAAGCTCACGAAAATTATAATCAGCGCTCAAAATTTGAGATCTTATCATCAAAGCTCAGTATCAGTCTCTAACATCTCTCCTGGCCCTTCAAGACAGCTTTCAGGCCCAATAGAACTACTTTCCAATTCTCAACCGACTCACCTGGACGAGTACTACTTCCATTTGGATTGAACTCTACATAATGACTAACTGGAAGCACTAGCGACACAATGACGTGGCAGTTGGAGCGGTGAGACACATTCCACAGATCTTGAAGCAACTTGCTTGGAGAGTAGTGCCTGCAATCGATTGTATTTTTTTTGTTTCTCATGTCAACCGAGAACAAACCGATCGAGGAGGTTGAAGGCGGTAATCAAATCGAACTTGACATCAGTGTTTGCCCAATCAAGTGCGTCCAGAACTGTGTACCCTTTTGAAGCGAGACGTTTGCGCATTTTCTGAAAAACAATTTTAAGATTATCTCTGTATCATTCTTTGAATATCGCTGACCGGCGAAAGTTCGGTTGCATAGACGTCGTCGAAACATGGACGCATGTGCTCAGTAATGTCTCCGTTTCCTGCGCCGAGGTCAAGAACCTGAAAACAATCGAAATTATGAACGTTGAATGCTTCAAAACTCACTTTCTTGCCAGCCGACACCCACGTGGATCTCTCAATTGTTAGGAATTTGGAGAACTGATTTTCACTGAACAGAAACATGTTTCCGAAACCCGTCATTCCATTTATATCAGTTTTTGTGTAGACGGACGACAAAATCATCACTCCGATGTTGCGAACAGTCTGAAATTATGAAAAAAAAAAATTTTTTTCTCGATGTTTTCGGTGATACTCACCTGCCAGAAGAAATTGCTAGCGATCTTGTTCGAATTATCGAGAAACAATTGTGTCTGGTTGTCCGGCTCCGACAAAAAGAACTTCTGCTGGGCAAGCTGAGACAAATTTGTCTGAAAATTATTTATTTTTATTTTGAATCCTAAAAAATTGAAATTACCTCTGGACGATACCAGTTTTCAGCTCTCAAGCCATAAGTTCGCTCGAGTTGAAAAGTCATCTTCTTTACTATGCAAAAATCGATAAACGAGAGGGAACAGTAAGGACGGCGCGCAGTGAACTGACTGTTTGTGCGAGGTCCCTCGTGTGCGTTGTTTTTGTGGTCAACAATGCAAGCGCGCCCCGCTGTACTAGTGAATAATGAAGAGTGTTGGAGAAAGAATATGATCGTTTAAGTATAGTTTTCACAATAAAATGAACATTTTTGGAACGAAAATTATAATGTCAGGTGTCTTTCGATAATATGCCGTCTTCCTCCACTCATTTTTCCGGAGCTTACTGTATAAAACCCCAAAATATGAAGAATAATAGCAAATCAAAAACTGTCTGAAGAAGAAATACTTACTATCTGTTCTCTGCTCAAATTCAGTGTATTTGCAGATCTGCCCATCACAAAACTTAAGGAAACGATAAAATGTCTACAACGGAAGGTCGGAGAGACGAAACTGAGAGATTTTGAATCTTATTGTTTCAATTTCAGACAACTTAAAAAGTTTCTCGAGTTTCTACGTCATTTCAGTTTCTATGTCATTGTGCAGCTTCAGCTTCCAGTCAGAAAAGATGCGGGGGTTCAATATTAGTTGAAAGAATACTCATCCACGTGAGTCTGTTATAAATATAGAATTTTGCTGATCTCTTGATTTTTCAGAAAATTGAGCATTGATGGTACTTTTCTATTGTTTCATATACACGGACAAAATTCAATGTTCGTTGTTGCTGAACAGTCAGACGCCGTCCGATCTGTAAAGAAAGGTTCCCGTTATGTGCATGCTGTCTCTGTTGCGACTGATCATCGTTTCGCTTGGGTTTCCTGTCAGTGATTCTGTAGAATTGTAGCCAAATAGATGTGCAACTTGCCTGAGTAAGTAGTTTCGAATCATTAATACGATTCTGTGGCCGTTGAAAGCATTCCAAAGGCTAAAAAAGACTTAAGAGGGTAAAAATCAGAACAGAGTAGGATACATTTCAAATTTCAGACATATTCCACAAGCGGATTGTTTCAAAGACCATGAATGTGTCTATTTTCACAGTCTACCTACAAATAGGAAGCGAAATGATTGTAAACATTTATTTGTTCACTTTTATCTTTTTGCTGATACCGTTAAATAAACTTTTTGAACACTGGTTTTAAATTTTGGTTGACTGTGTGCCTCCCCTCGTCCTCGAAGGATGATTTGTGCATTGAATGGTACACAACGTTGGGCGGACCAACGTATTTCGTCTGTGTGTGCGCGCACAGCACAGTTGACCTTGTTATCGCAAATGCGCTCTGTCGAACAAGGATTGATTGTCAACAGATAGTCCTCTTCTTTTATTAAGTTTCATTATTTTATATAAACATTTAAATGCAATTCAGGAGACATATCCTGAGAAGAATTAACTAAGATGTTAATACTCCTTTTGTTGAACCAATTTCCACCTTACTAATTCTAAAAATGAAAAAATTAGAAATTCAAATAATTTTTCAGTTGCCCTCCCGTTTGATCTATTATAATTTTTTAATCGTATCATTTTTATGTTTTTTTTCAGGTCCTTCCGTGTCCTTTGCCTGTTCTTAAGTTACCGAAGAAGTCCACAGTGTTTGAAAAATGGAGCATCGTGAGTTTTTTTTTCGAGTTAACCAGCAAAATCTCTCAGAAAACTGATGAAAACAACACGCTTTAAACGTTTTCTACCAAAAACGGATTCCAAAAAATTAACCTAGCTTTTCGAAAAGTTTAATTTATTTCCAGCATCGATTTTTTTTCGTCAATTTCCAAACTTTTCAGACGCGGCCCCTGAACACCTCCAACGGCTTTTTGAACGAGCTGGAAAAACGGATGGATCCACACGACCTAACATTGGAAACATTGATCTCAAGTTCCTCGAAGACTCGTGCCAGATTATTGTCAACAACAACAAAACTCGTACAGTTTTTTGGAGAGTAGTTGACGAAAAAGTGGTTGGATGTGAAGATTATTCTGATCAAATTGATGAAAGACTTCAAACAATCATCGGAGAAGAAGAAAGGGACTCCGACGGACCGTCCAAAGTAGACATCCCCACTGAAAACGTCGTGATCAAAAATGCTAGCAGAAGTGAAATGATAGAAAAAACAATCGAAGACATATATATCATGAAGGAGATGTTTGTGTTCAAAATTCTACGATTGCTAGACGATGACAGACTTTTTCAGTTTGACGAAATTACAGATTTTTTCAAATCTCTAAACCAAAAACACATCGAGCGTGTTGAACTGAATGGCTGGTCTCCAAAACAACTGAAGAAACTATTCAAATGCTTCGAGAGAATTAGCTGTCTGAAATTAAATATGTGTTTCAACAATTATGTATCTGTTCGAGAATTCGATCGTTCAGTCTCTGCGTATAAGAACAATGACAGTGACGACGAAAAAGGAGATGATGATGACGTGATCGTTGAGGATGAAACAGATGAAGACGACGACCGTTTTGATGGTATTCTATTTGGTTCGGATGGTGCTGTTTCCCAGGTGGATGACATTCAATTGACTGGCTCTGGCTTTCTCGAGTTAAAGCAATTGGAAAACCTGAATTTTGTTCGAGGTATCTTTTATATGAACATGACGACTTCCTGTATACGAACGTTTTTGCAAAATTGGAAAGAAGGAAAGTCTCATCGCAGAATGAAAGCATGCAAGTTTGTTTTCGAAGGTGCTCGACCGCCAGTTCTCGAAGATTTAGAAGAAGATGGTCGAATCATCAATACAGAAGGAATGGCGGCAGAATTGTCAATAAAAATTAGAATGGCTAAAATTGAAATGCATATTGTTGTTGTTCCTAACAATATTTAAACAATGGTTTTGAATTTTCGACTTTTTGACTCTTATTCGGAGCTGAAAGATTGAATTGTTTTTAAGTTTCCCGCCCCCCCCCCCCCCTCACCATTCGCCATCCTCTTAATTTCCCACAGTGGTTACATTCCGAAAATTAAAATCTCTCTCATCAATTGATCTTTTATATCACACGACATTCAAATAATAAAAAGGAAAATTATACTTGTTAAAGGTTGTTCAATCAGGCTTAAAATCGATTCTAAGGATGACGGAAGAGAAACGTAGGTGGCCGTGGCCAAAGGTCGCACAACAACAACTACCGTAACCTGAACATTTTCAAAGTATTCATTTTCTTCTTTTGATAGTAAAAAATGACTGAAAATGTCCAAAAATTGAGATTATAAATCCGGAAAATGAAAAAATGTTCAGGCTACTGTAGTTTTCGTTTTGTGACCTTTGGCCACGGCCACCGGCAATTCCTTTCCACAGCTCCGATTATTTTGTACAGGAATAATAGTTTCAATCCACAATTCAGTTTGATATGATGTTTCAAACTAATTCCAGCTTTGAAAACTTTGGAGTTTCCGAATTCCACAACTGAATTCCTTGCTCCCCTGATTTTCTTATCATCCAAACCCCAAATTCTATATAAACAATCTTCCCGAAGCAAAAATTAAAGATCAAACGGTTTCAAGGAATGTGGTTCTGATTTGTTTACGAATTAGCGAACTTTTCACCTCGTCTTGTCTACAATTATTTGTTCTTACTATGATATTTAAGAGGTATAATTTGGATTCGAAAATTGTCATTTAAGAAGAAAAATCTAGAAATAGACTTAAAATATCTGAAACCACTACACTTTTTTTCGTATTCTCATAATTGCTATACGATTGAAAACTCGGAGATTTTCTCTATCAGTTTCTAAGTGTATTTTTTCTTCCTGCTATGAGTCTATCTCAAACTATCAAAGCTATCGCTATGACAACTGCGAATGTTTCGATTGTTTCTGATTCGCTTCCGAAGATAACAGGAGCTATTCCAGATGAGATTTGGATGATTGTCGCGTTGGTTGTTGGAATTATTCTAATTGTTTCGGAAACATGTTGTGAAATATTTTATGCGGTTAGAATATTTCAAATGATTTATAAGTATGTGATTTCTAATCAGAAAAATCTTCTTCATTTCTACTTTCTTATCAGCATTGGATTGATGGGATCATCGGTGAGAAGAGGTATAATTAAAAAAATTATGGGAGATTTTCAGAATCTGACCTACCTCGTTCTTGACATGATGGCTCTTCAGTTACCTGCAGCAAATGTTAGGTTCCTGGCTACTGAGATCATCAAAATTGCCCATTTCGTAACTGAATACTATTCCATTTTCTTTACTTATCTTTTCTGCCTCCTCCGTTTTCTCTTGTATGCGTTCCCTGGAAATCCTTTAAAGGTGATAGTTTCTTTTTTGCATGTAATTAAGCTCAAATTTGTATTTCTTCAGGTCAATACATGGATTCTTTTTATTTACTTTTTTCTTACCATTCCTCTCTCATGGATTCCATTTTTCTTTTTGGAATCGGAACTGGGATATTATGTATGGGATTTGGAGCAAATATATGATTCATTTGTTGATAGGAGTTACAATTATGGAGATCGAATTGTTATTTTTGTTTTATTTATCGTGTCGTTTCTAGTATTATCAACAAATTTGGTCTACGCACTCTACGCAAATAAACGAAAAAACTCAAGGTATTGTCTATAATTTAGAAAATGAAAATAATTGATCTCTATTTTTAGCCGACCATTCCAAAGAAAAGAAAAACGTAGTTTGTTCCTCACTACTTTATCAATGGTCCTCCCGTCTATATTGAATGCCATTTAACTAATTTGAACTAACTAATTTGAACTTTTTACCGCTATTTTAATATATTTCCAGATTCTCTCTTCGTCAAATTCATTATTTGTCAAATGTTTTCTCATGTTTCGCACTCTGTTCATTGTTTCTGGAAATTTATTGGTCGTGGAAATTTTTTATGAAACTCATGGTATATTTCGAAAAAAGAAGCAGGCTAGCATAAGTACAGTAGTACCATCTCCCAACTTTTCTCCCAAAGTCTCAGTTACTCCCCGTTCAGTGATTCGTCAATTGTAATTAACCTGTTTTTTCTCGGCTCGAATCAAATTTTCAAACTATCCCATTAAAGTTTCCAATAAGCTTTCTGAAAACGTTTCTGATCATTTTCCTCTTCCTTGTTTCAAATCATCATTTAGAAAATTGCAAAATTCCTATCCCTTATTTATCTGCCAATTAGTGTCGATCTATAGTTCAGGAAGTCATGTTTTGAAGTGTGCACTTTATATTTATGAACAAAAATCTTGATACTGGTGTACGTGACTAATCTTCTTTGTTAGAGATCCCTTTTGGGAATATTATTTTTCCCCTTCCGCTTGCTACGCACGTTGAGCGGTAATCAAGCCAGTGAGGGTTGTATTTAAGCACAAATTTTTTGTGTTCCCATTGTCATTCAGTCTGATTCTGTCGTCAAATTGATACCCTTGATTCTAGCTTCCTTCTCAACCTTCTACGTCTTCTTTGTATTTCTTCCTCTTCTTTGTATTTTTTCTCGCTGAAATGCGCAGCTCTATCCATCAGCTCAAGGAATACGTTGATTGGGAGTTCACACCGGATGCTTTAACTTGTGCTGTTGGCATTGATAGCGTTATCATGTTTTCTACAATTTTCGTTCTTCTCCGGATGAAGAGAAAATATGAAAATCTAAAAGATCAATCATTCCTTCATCCACGCCTTTTCAATAGTATGATGCAGATGGGTGTAGCGGTGAGAATCGTAAAATAATATGTCTCCACAATAAGAATAATTGTAGAACTTGACTTTCTTTGTATTCGATTTGCTCACATTCCGTCTCCCATCAACTGGAGTCTTGACTAGCTTGTGTGCAAGATTCGAGCCTAACCGATTACTTATCATTGTATACATTGGCCAACTGGTCTCCACTTATTGGTCCATGCTTTTCACTCTCCAGTTTTGCCTGGTTCGTCTCATCATCTTTGCCCGTCCTACCGATCATGAGCAGGTTAGAAAACTTTTGGAAGATTTCCAAATCACAGAAATTTTTTCAGATAAACAAAAAGTTTACGAACGTCTACACGAAACTAGCCTTTGTCTCGCCTTTTGCTGCTCCATACTTTATGTATCAAGGACTCGGATATTGCCGTCAATGGGATACAGTATTCCGTCATGGTGCCGTTTTCATTTCCTACACGGATACCTTGCTTGGAATTCGAAAGGACTACGGATACACCGTTACCACATTTCTTGCTCCATTTGCAATGACGGTAACTAATGGATTTTTCGCCTATTATGCTGGAAAACATGCTTCACATACGAGGTAGTGCTGACGTATAAATAATAAATCTTAGGGGAATATAGAAACGGACAATTAAAAAAAGTAAAAACCTCAAAAAAATCGCTCCAAAAAGAAAAAAAATTCATTCCTGATCCAGTTCTATAATTTTCTGAACGGTTCTCGATTGTAACTTAAACTGCTGTACTTAAGGTGGCGTAAAAATATATTGGGTCCTCTTTTCATAAACCTGTTCCAGAGCCAAGAGCAATCTGTTCAACAAAAAAGCAAAGTTCTCTCTTGTTCTCACCAACTTGGCAATGACCGTTCCTTATCTGGCACACTGTCTTCTTACGGTAATTTTCTAATTTTTGTCATATATCCCTCGTAACTTGCAGATTGTGTGCTCTTGGATTGTTCCAGAATGGTCGCCATATTCAATTCTTATCAGGACACCACTCACAGACATTGCTCATCTGGGAATGATTGTTTATTATTACGCAACTCATAGAGTTTTCAATGGAAAGTCCAACGCAATCAAACCAACGCCATCGGGTTCTCGTGTAGCAAAATAATTATTGCAGTTTGAAACTTGATTTTCTAACTCGATCTACCGTATTTCTTTGACACTACCGAGACTTGCATTTTGATCTCAATTTTTTGATTTTTTTGTAAAAACACTGAGAACCTGTACACTAATAAAATGTTTGTGGTAGAATAAGAAAAATTGCATCAATCAATAAAATTTGATTATCGCTTATGAAAACCGAGATAATTCAGCTCGGAGTGTATGTGAACCTGATATTCAATATTTTTGAAGTTGTCTTCTTTGTTATATGTATCAAAAAGACCTTGATTTTTGAATTGCATTGTAAGTTGAACTTTGATTCAGGATGCGAAAAAATCACAGCTTGAAGTCAAAACATCAGAGGTTGTCGGAAGTTCGAAAACCCGGGAGCATCAGTTTCCATTCTGTTCATCCTTCCATTCTTTCCAGATTACTTTTTCAGTTTCTATCACTGAAAAAAACCATAATACATATACCTTCCCTTGTTCTCTGTACTTGAATTTGAATTTTGACATTTTTTACTAGTTTTTTTGTAGTAGTCATTTTTCAATTATTGGGAAACATCGACAAATGTAGAAATGGATTTGGAAATGAGAATTTCTATTTACAACCAATCAGAATACCTTGATTTCAAATTTTCTTTCAATTTCATCGCATTTTTGTGTTAATAGAGGGTATTCTAACAATTGTACTACCATTTTACGGTTTCAGTATGTTTTGGAAAAATGCTATAAAGAAGAAAGAGTTCAGCTCGCATATTCATAAAAGTCTTGTACTGATGGCAATAACAGTAAGTGAAATGAGTGATCGGATTTGAGACCGATACTCTCAGAATTTGGTGTCTTCAATCTGTGAGCTGATTGTGGTCCGAATCCCACTCACTGGATTCTTTACTAGCTGGATTACTTCAACGGAACCAAATGTCATATTGGGTTGGCTCTATATTCTACAAAACTTTTCTTTTTATTGGTCTCTACTTTTTGTCATTCTATTCAGTATCATGCGCCTAGTGATTTCGTTGGGACCAATGGCCGATAAGAAGGTGAAACGAACTACATATTAATTCAAAAAAAAAAAGTAGTTTAAGATTTTCACGAGGTTGTTATATATCTACACTCCAGCCGCTTTTCTATTTCCTACACTTCCAGTCTGGTTCATGGAAGTGGGAGTTGGATATTTCAAGCAGAGAGAACACCCTTTCTCATTCGGCGCAATAGAACTGAGCCTTACCGTCACTTTACTCAAGAAAGTGTTGTATTATGAACATCTTGGACTATTAACTTTGTCTTCGCTTTTTATTTTCGTCGCCAACGGAATAGTAGATGGTCGTTCAAAGAAAGTCGAAATCAATGACCAGTAGGCCGTAAGAACCTTGAATTCCAGTTTAAAGTTTTGATTCCAGCGCTCGCAAACGGTTACAAAAATTGTTCTACTTGTCTACTTTTGCCATCACTATCCCTCATCTTTTTCGTATCATTCTGAAGGTGAGAAAACAAAATAGATTACAATTTTATACATCTGAAACTCAGGTCGCTTCTATGAATTGGTCAAGTGTTTCGATTGTATCTGGTAGCTTGATTTCTGATATTGGTTGCTTTTCAACTTTGATTATTTTTTCACTTTTCTATGTGAAACCTACACAGATTCATGTTACTCCCGCTTCGATCCCTTTGCCAACGATATCGCAACTTCCGCATGTCTAGAGAGTTACAACCCATTTTTCACTTTGATTATTTATAGTGAATCTTTTACACATTTAATGAATCTGTTTTTTTTCTGTATTATGCAGAGATGGTCTTTCAATTTTTCGATTGTATTTAAAATGAAGAACGTTTTTGTATATCTTGTTTTTCATGAAAACGTTTCAGATTTCGATCTCATATTATGTGTTGTGCTCGAAATAACTGAACAATTGAGAGAAAAACTGTGAAGAAATCGCTATAAAACTGTAGAAGAACACTCCAAAAATTCAGAGTTCAGGACTTGAACGTGAAGGAGCATAGATCATGAACAATTTTTTTTATTCAGGTAAATCAAAACAAAAATTTTGTTTGCACTCTAATTGTTTTGTCATTGTCATTTTCAGTGGATAAATGGCAAACTAACTCATTTTGTTCACGAAGTTTCTGATGTTTTCATTTTCATCAATTTTTTTGAAGTTCCACTGGGAGGGGTTCCCATTATTGTTAACACATTTGCTATGCTCATCAAAAAACTTGAAAACGAGAAAAGATTGATACGAATTGGGCGTTAGCATGGCAGAGATATTTGGAACGGAATTCGGAATTTCGAAAATTCAAAAGATTCCGAGCAATTTCTCGTTGCTTATTAATTCAGTTTATGTTTTTCAAGTTTGCGCAGTCGTGAGATTTTCTAATTGCACGGAAGGGAATTAGAAAAAATCAAGGTGAAAACAATGTTCGTGTTTCTTGCAGAATTGAAGTTTGCTATTTATTGGAAACCAGAAAAATGAGCCAAAATCAAACAATTGAAAAATAAAGGAGACTTTCTCGTTGGCACCCATAAATTATCCCGATATTTTTGTTTTTACGTTGAACTCAATCACAAGACGTCTCAAGCAAGCGGTGTGCGGAGTAACTATTTTCAAACAATTTGCAAATATAAAATTTTGGAAAATACCGAAATTGTGTTTTAGAATTCTGAAATGTTTTAAAGGTCACTATTTCTCTAGTTTCTTGATATTTTCAAGTTTGGATTTTCCATGCTGAAATATTTGAAAAGTTTCAAAGAGAACTTCCCATGCACTCAAAGTTTTGTACCTCTCTCAAATTTCGATAAAATTTCAATATCTGTTTATTTCCAAGTCATGTGATGACGCAATAAAATTTTTTATTCTGTTCCAATAATTCAAACTGTCGATTTATCACTTTACACCAAGTTTTTTTTCTTCATTCCATCGATTCGAACATTGATACAACAACTGCAAAGAGACACAGTTTTGCGTTATCATTGTCAACATTCAGACTTTTTTTTTCTCATTAGTTTTAGTGATAACGGGACAAAACGCACGAAAACGAGTTTCTTATCCGTTTCGCCAATTTAGAGAACCTTTCCATATCATTCAAACTTTTCGTGCCCATTCGAGACGCCGCTCGTTTTATCGTCTCCTATTTTTCCTCGTTTTGTTATTTGATTTTGAATTCTAAGCACTGAAAAAGAACATCAATGAAGTTTCAGACAAATTCAATGGATGAAAAACCAAAGATAAAGCTTCGGCCGACAGAAGGTGTTGTCGACTATGCTACGGAGTACAAAAAAGCAATTACGGATAAAAATCAGTTAATAAGTAATTTTTGACTAAAATGATTGAAAAAATTTAAAATTGAAATTTTCAGATTCGGCTAAGTATTTTTTGAAGATGAGAACGAGTCATTTGACCGAGGTATTAGGAACATGGGAAGATATTGTGGACGATATGGACTTGGAAATTGCGGAGCTGGTACTCAACGAATTTCTGTCCCCCAAATGCACTCTTCTAGAGTTTGAGTTCAAAAATCTGACAGTGTAAGTATACGAGTAGATAGTTCCAGTTCATTATTTTTTGTTACTAGCGCTGGAAGAAAAATAGCTGCAACAATACCAGAGGAAGGAACTCCCGAAAAAGCATTCAGTGAAGTCTGGCAACAACATATTCTAGGGAAAGTTCTTACGAAGTAATTATATTACCATAGGAATGTAAATTTTTAAATAAGTTTCAGTGAGAACGTATCTACCGTCTCAATTCCCGAGATAGAAACAACACAAGCCGGCGATAAAACTGACGTCACGAAAAAAGCGGAGACTACTAGTGCAGAGAAAGAGGGCAAATCTGATAAGGACAACGAGAAAAAAGAAGTGAAAGAAGAGGTAGATGAAAAGAAAGACGGTTTGACAGATTCAGATGATAACAAAGAAGCGAAAACAGTTAATGCGGAGGTTTTTACCAAAATATACTGTTAGTTTATATGCAAAGTGCAAACGACAATAACAACTTTTCAGTGATCTACAAACGCATTAGATGGTTCAGCAGGAATATTGCAATTGAAAAAGTTTGTAGTTCATAGTTTGCAATAAAAAATTTCAATTCAGCTAAAAGTCGAAAAGAATAAAAAACAGGAAATCGCAATGGGAATCTTAGTTTTTGATCGTGCATTTTCGATCACCTGGAAAGTGGTCAACTGTCTTGTCTATATGGAAATTCTCGAAAATGTTCGGAAAGATTGGGCAGGACCCGTAGCGACAGTGTTTGGACGAGTGCACAAAATGCTGGTTGAAGAAAATATGGGTAAAAAATAAAATTCGATTAGTACAGTCGAAAATCAATTTCAGGGATATTCACCGAAGATTCTGCAGATTTGCTGAAATGTGCTCATCTTTTCATTTTAAGATATCGCGGCGAGCTGGATGAAGATTGTGAGCAAGCTCCCAGAAAAATAGTTTAAGATCATTTTTTCAGTGTTGTTCCGACTCGGATTCGGCTACTTGAGTAAAAAACTGCATATTCTTAAAAGAGACGTAAGTTTAAAAATGTCAAAATTGAATGAATATCTAAGATTTACAGAACACAAACGCCATGGCTATTCTTAATGTGGCATCCCATATGGCGGATCAGGAATTGAAGATAACCGAGGTTCATAAACTTTTGGAGGAGGTGTTCAATTTCGACATTTTGCAACTTTAATTTTTTTTGTATATTTTGTCTTTTTGCTTCTGCTTGCTTCATGATATAATAGTGTTTTGCTTTCGACTGTGAAAAAAGATTTTGAAAACATCAACATTCTGTAAACCCAGATTTCGAAGAAAATGGATGGATTAAGAATAACCTATCTAGACAATCCTGGAATCTTTAGAATTTGCTTGTCAGGTTCAATACCAATAATTGAATGAGATCTCAAATTTCAAATATTTATCAAAAAAAAAAAACTTTAAAAAAACTTTTGAACTGATTCAGTTGGTGAAAAAACTTGAAAACTTTGAAAAATTTGTGAAGCAATGTCAAGACAGGAAAAAAAACCAAAAATTGTGCTTTCTCGAAACTAGAAGTATGATAGACGACAAACAGACTTCTTGGACTGAGATATTACAACGATTACATTTATATTAATTACCCAACACTTTGTCATTGAGTGTAAAATTCAATGTGTTGGTGCTACGCAGCAGATGATCAAGAAACGTCAAAAAGTCTCCTATTGTATATTGGACGGCGCTCAATGGGCAACATTGATGGCGGTGAAGGTGCCCAATCCATTAGCCAAAAGGTAATTGGATTGGTATCTGTGCGTTGGCAAATATCTCGAGCTCAGATCTGTTGTTTTTAGATGTTTTCAGCGTGCGCGTTCTCTTTTACTTTTTTTCGACCGCCACCGCCCACCCACGACAATGGAATCCGAAACCCATTCCCCATTCCGACTCGGAAAACCAAACCCCATTCTCGATCTTCGATCATCCGAAATGCCCCCTCTATTCTTTCGAAACATGTCCTCTTTGTTGAGTTATATATTGCTGGAATTGTGTGACGTACTTACCTTATTTTTTTTCTGGAACCCACACAAAACATTTTTCCTTCACTTTTGAATTTTTATTTGATTAGAGAAATGCCGACTTTTTGCTATCTCTCGCTCAGATTATCAGTTCATCCCGATTTCTCTCCGAGATATATATTTTACAATCTTGGTGTCGGATTTGAAAAATGAGACCGATTCGCATTTCAATCGGCAGGTCCGATTTTTTTCCTTCTCCCTTCATCTCTTTTTCACTGAGCCAAAGTGCAATTATTGAGGGAGACACCATTGTCTCATCAAATCATTCCAGACGTTTCGTCTCGACTCAGGTTGTCATAGTGTGTCACTTTTTTCACACTTTTCATCTTTCGCTTTTACAACTTTTGAAGATTCTTGTCCTACCTGTCCTTTTGGTTTTTCACGTAGTTTGAGCGTTTTTTGTTCTCATTTCTGTCTGGAGACACTTTGGAATTACCTCTCTGATATCCTAGAGGACTAAAATTTCGAATTTATTCGAAGGAAGAAACTTTTGTGTGAAATGTGATATGGTCTCGGGCAAAAGCAACATGATATGATATATGGATGTGGATGATTCGGTACGTGCTTCTTCAGACATGTGTTACTAAATCTGAATTCCACAATACTCCACTTTTCGTCTTCTTGAACCCCCTTGTTTTATAGGCTCTAGGACAATTTTTTTTTTTCGTTAGCTCGTCCTTCTCGTTGGAAAGATTTTTATGTTCGAAATGCGTTGGCTCGTTTTCAAATTGTATACTCTGCTCTCAGTGGAGAATATATCCGTTACACCTAGTCCAAGTTGTGTGTTTACATGCAAGAGTGCGATTTACTTCCTCAATATCTTAGGATATGATTTTTCTGAAAAAGTGGATTCTGTACCTGCTAAAAATTTTCACGTTTTGGTAATATTTTTAGGTTTGCCAGCTTGCCTAGTATCCGTTGAACATTATTTAAAAAAAAGAAAATTTTAAAACTGAAATTTTCGTCGGTGTGACTAGTTTTCATAGTGATAACTTTAGGACAACTGTAATATTCAGTTTTTTTAATTTTTAGAATCTTTTAGAAACCGCTCACCAGTTTCAGCCTAGTTATATAAATTTAAGTACCAAAAATCGCGATTTCAGAGCAAAATGGCAATTTTCAAAAACGATTTTCTAAACTTCGAAGACGTTGCAAATCTCGAATTTTGTGTTGTATTCAAAATTCGTTGAAATATTTTCTGACTTTTTCTCGAAAATGTCTTTTTTTCCATTTTTTCCATAACTTGAAGGAGAAAATCAAAATTATACTTTTTTTATACTTTTTTTTTTCATTTTAGATAAATTTCCAAAGATTCTTTCTCTTTGAAGATTTAAAAAATTTTGGCATAAGAAGAAAACTGTTCACACTTGTTTTTTCAAAAATATGAAAATTTCCACAAACGCAATTTTTTCAAATTTTATATCAAGATCTCACTTTCTGGAAAATCTTTGTTTATCACTCTTTTTCTCATTCACTTTCTCGTTTTTTTTCCACAAATAATTTTTTGTGAAACTGTGAATTGGTTTCAAGTTTCATCATCTTCTTTCTTCCCGTGGCAAATAGATCTTGCTCTTTTTCTCTACCTCACCTGATGAAGACGACTTTTGTTCTGTAAAACTTAAAATTTCAGATTCTATTTTATCAACTATTGCTGATTTTTTTTCCTTCGCCCAGACTCAGACCTATGGCTGTGTGATGAAATTTGATGGAAATTAGCTGTTGCCTTTGTCTTGAAGGTAATATCAACTTTTGTCGTAAAATGATTTGTAAGGTGTTTCATTTTTTTATGAAAATTGTTAGATAGATGAACGGTGACTGGAATCGTTTAAAAAATTGGGTTTTCAGGAACTCGAATCATTATCGAAGATGAAATTGGCGGTGAGGACGAGGGAAGCTCGTACAAGTGCTGTCGAGGTGATGTTCATGTTAAGGTAAATCTGAGCAATTGAAGAACGATACATATTCAAAAGGAATCTTTTAGCGTGCCTGTTTCTATGTGTCGATCTCAGCTCTAGTCGTTTGTTTATTCTCTACAATATGCATGTTTTTTGGTGTTTACACTGTCAACTTATGGCTAGATATTTTTTTGATTGTTGCAAATACGGTATGTTCACATACCTAGACATTTTATTGAAATCTTGATTTCTTCAGGTTGTGGCCATTCTGATGATGATTGGACTTTATTATGACTGCGCTGCCCTACTAGTTCCTTTTATAATTTCAGAAGTGAGAGATCGAGAGCTTACAATTTCATTTAACGCAAAAATTTGCAGATTGCACAATGTGCATGTTTCTTTATTTTAGCCAATTACGTTTTATACTATACGTTTGCTTTTCGGAGGCAGAAATTCTATCAAAAATTTGGTAAGCCTTTTTGATCAAGTTTTTTCACAATTTTCGATTTCAGATCAAATGCTCATGGTGATATCAATATATTTGGGAATCGTTATTTGTATAGGTGCAATATGGGCAGCTACAAAATGCTATCATTATCTCCGGCAGAAGGCTGAAGGAATCTATCCAGATTCTGGGGAACGATGTATGTGGGAGTGATGATGATGAGGATGCAAACCGATTTTATGATGATGATGATACTCGTCTATTTTTTGTGGACCAATAAAATCAATTTTTCTCTCACATTCAGCTTCTAAAACACGCCGCAATACAAAGACAAAGGGATCGCGTGACTTGAAGCTGACCTGACCCATAGACGTCCTTGGGGCAAGCCAAAACATATCGGCATGTGTTCCATTTGTCAAAAACATTCTTAGCTTTCAATGCAATAATATTCATTCAACTTTTACGACAATGAGACAAAAAAATTAGTTGCTAGTAAAGAATTTGTTCTGAACATCTGTGCAGAAGCTGTTGCACATTTGGTGGCAGGCAACGTAGTTCTTCTCGACAGTCGTTCCAAGAGTCACAGTTTTGGTATTAGAAGATCCGCTGCTGACGTGGAAGACCTGAAAGTAGCTATTTGGAACCGTTTTTGTCTATTCGTATTTTCCTGTCTATGATGATTAGAAAAAATTAAGAGAACTATTCAATAAAGCTTCTCACTCTGTTTAAAACTAAATTAGAACTTGAGAAGAAAAACCATCATATTTTCACAACCCATCTATTCCACATACGACATTTTCTAGTTTATTGACGCGAGCTCCATTAAGTGTGTAGTATATCATCTCTTGAATCCCCAATCTACTACAGAACCGCGTTATCTTACCTCGCATGTGTATTGCCCAGCGTCTTGTTCTGGCTGATAATTTTGAATTTCGAGAATGGCACCGCCATTGTAGAATTTATGTTTTCCGCCTGAACCATTGTCTATCTTATCATTAGTATATTGTTTTTCCCACCTTCCAAGACTTGTTTTCCGTGACGGGTCCAATAAGTAATAACACTGTCTTTCTTGGCGGACACTTCGCATGAGATGTTGACTGAAGCCGTGGCAAGAACCTGACCAAGATGGAGCTGCTTGTCACTGAATACAATGTCCTCTGTAAATTCTCTGGTTTCAATTGTTGATGAGTAACGTTTTGGACTTACCAAAGACAATAACATCCATTTTGTTCATATACTTCTTACTTCCAACTTGAGCATGACAGTAGTAAACTCCACTGTCTTCTACGCTAGAGTTTCTGATAATGAGTCCTAGGTTATTCTCATCCAATTTTTTCACCTCCACGTTTCCAGTTCTAAAATCAAAAAAATCGTTATGTATTTTTTATAAATATTTCACCTATCAAGTCCTCCATGCTTCTTCCAAATCATTCCTGGCTTTTCATCTCCAGCTCCTTTAACCGAGCAAACCAACGAGATCTGGTGACCGATTGGTTTTTGGACTGGGTTTGCTTTTGGGCTGATGGAAATGATTATTTCATCATCTGAAATAATTTTTTAAATATCTTTAGAATCATTGAACATGGTTCACCTGCTGCTACTGCTACAGAAAAGAGGAGAAAAATAAGGGCAAAACATTTAGCCATCCTGTCTGGTGGACCCAAGTCAGAATGACACGGAGTGGCTACTAGGAATGAAAGGAGGAGTTGTGAAGAAGTGTTTTGTCTCGTCAGGTGTTAAGACGTCCTTCTCCCAGAAATGACTCCTACAAAATACTAGAGGCTTGGGTTACCACCATCACCACTCTCCTCGCCGCGCTCGCTCTTTTTTCAGATTAAAAGAACGCCGATGCCCATTAAACAGGCGGCAGCTCGTTGAAAAACGTGATTTCGAGTGATTGAGCGGGACCATTTAGATGAGTTAATCGGTCGAGAAGACATGAGGGGAAGCCTTTTTGCACACATGCTAGCACTTTAAGTGAAGAAAGGTCAACAAGATTGATTCATCAAACATCTAAAAAAATTTAAATTAAATAAAAAAATTTAAATTTAAGACGAAACGTTTTGAATGTGTCTGGTTCAAAAACGCACATGTATTAAATTAGTTTCAAAAACCTGCTTTAATTCCCTGTTTGGCCTGAACTAAGAATTTCGAAGAAATTGTTAATCGTGCACGAGAATTTGGAAAAAAACTGTCAATCAACGTTATTACTCTGAAGAATTGTTTGGCTTTCGAGATCTATTTTTGAGACCATTCCGATTTTACCGAGGGCTCAGCAAGAAAATAGAAAAAAAAACCATAAAATCGTACATCCGCATACTCTTTATTCCGATTTGATAGTTTTCAAATACTCTAATGCCTACTTGCTCAATTTTTTTTCAAAATAGTCATTTTAAAGCACCAAATTTATACCAGAACACCTCTTAAAGCTGAAAACAAAGAAATTTTGATAAAATGTTCCCAAAAATCCAGTTTTCTCTCAAAAAATGGCTCTTTATAATGTTCGCCTCAAAAACCCAGGCCGCGACATGTATGCTCTAATGTGATGATAGCTCTCTGAGAAATAATTTTCAAAACTATATGAAAAAATCAATAAGTGGCTTCGCATTTAATGATTTTATCAGTTTTAACTAAACTGATTAAAACCAGCTTGGGTTCAGACCATTTTTTGATACTTTATACATGTACCCAAAAGAATTTTAGGAAGATGTCATGCTTACGATAATCAAAAATATTACATTTTTCCAGGATTAAAAAATCGGTTTTTAGGTCTTCGGTCATTTTTTAAAGTTGAAATCGTGACTAACAGATGTAACCTTCTAACCGAATTCCTAGACTATTTTTTTTCTTACGCCAATCAAACTTTGAAGATATCAAAATTTCACATCTAGACTCTCAGTGAACTCTTATGAGATTTTCCCGCTATAATTCTCTGTGTGAGTTGTGTTCTTCTTTGAACTTGTGGTAATTCAGTATTTTAAATACGTTTTCCAAAATTCTGTCTAGCTATAATTAAATTTTGAGTTGAATTATCTCGGTTTCGGTAAGAGATATCTGAATATCGTCCACTAAAAATGTTTAGTATAATATCACCGAGATTTTCTAACTTTACAGAAATCAAGATAATCGCTGCCAAAACGCAGATACAGAGATTGTGTTCTACTAAGGGAAATACGGTATCTGAGTTTGCGCCCACAAATCCGGAAAATTTTTTACAGATAACCAGAAAAATATTAACTCGTTTTGAGGAAATTGTATGAAGTCCCATGATCCTGCGATCTTTTTTATGCCCAATTTTCGAAACTTTTTGTCAGTATGGAATATTGCTAACTTTTAATTTGGTTGGTTTCCAACAACAGCATTTGAAAATGAAGATTCGTGGCGCTAATCCGATTAGACAAAAAATCTGAAAAAAACAGACAGATAGATTTCATTTCCCGTCTAGGGAATTATACTAAAAATTATTTTTTAAACAATTTCATAGAAATTCTTTTCGGTGGAAGATCGAATTATTTAAAAATCAGAAAAATCTTTTTCTCAACTTTCTGACTCGTTGTTTCACCCAATTCCTTAGTACAACTTTCGTTCTGAATTTCAAATTCTACCGCAGCGATGCTTTAAAAAAATCGTTAAAAATGCGATAAATTAGTTATTGAAGTTTTTATTATGCATTCTACGATGTTCTAATCTACATACATTAAAGCTTTCGCGTTCGCCGCCCTTTTTCAAAATTTTGAAACCCTTCTGCTTTTCAAATTTTGTTCTATTTAATTTTGTGTATCCCATCATGCTCAATTTGATATGACAATGGTAGAGGGTTGCACCTTGTCTTGGATTTAGGTAACATATTACGTATAAACATCTGAAGGTGTTGCGTACTGTCACGCGAACACATAGTGGACAGCTTCTTTGTCTGGCTTTGCCGCCAAGGACATTTCTGTTTCCCTCCGATTTTGCATTCAATGGTGCCGTATATTTTTTAGTTTTTTGCAGTTCCTCTACCTCTATTCTCTAGGTAGAGCAGACTGAATGACAAAAATGAGACAGAGAACCTTCCCAATTGACGAATGGTCTCCCAAAACAATGGGGGCTCCCTTGGGGTCACGCTTTCCCAGATTCTCCATAAATCTTTTTCATCCCATACGATTGTCAAATTTGACACTTAATTTCACACGCGCAGTTGTTGATGGATGTTCAAAGAAAGTGAGAAATGGTTTTTTTTTTTGAACCCATCGTCCTCCTGTTCACTCATTGACAAGCATACAACACTTGTCGGAAGTGTTTTCCTTGGGTAACTAATCTTTAGCCAACAACGTTGCATTAGAGCTTTTCACGTAAGCAACCTCCAGTTGACTCTTATCTCTTTTAGTGAATGGTTTTTTACACACATTTATTCATCATGACAGCCAAGGGGACGGGACGACGTCCCTCCTCTCTTATCCCGAAAGAACAACTGTCGACTGTCCGCATTCATTAATAAATGTCGTGCCATCGTCCGATGTTTACTACACATACGACATCCCTAAAACTTTTTTCTGTGAGCTGCTGCTCTTGGTTGACAACACAAAAGCACTTCAAGGTGTCAATTTTTGAAGACGTGCATACTTTGCCGCGCCTGATAATGTGCTTTTGTTATCTCAAAGAGGAACTCTTTTTTCGTTACTTCTATTTTTTCTTCCTGCTCTTCCCGTCATTCAAGAATTCGTACTAGGTGCAAGTCGGTCGCTGATCAACTATTAGAAGATCATCTTCAGGTAGTTGGGGAGAAAGAAGATTGGCAAATGAGATTTCATTTCGAAAATCGCAAAAATTTCCTCTCGTCTCGGGGCTGCTCTTCACTTTTGCTCTCCAATTGCTTTTTGTTACAACCAGACGACGTATCAAACAGCGTTCATTCTTTTCACACCTGGCACTAAACTTTTGTGCAGAAAAAAAAAACACTAAAGAGTGAAACGTGACGGTTTATTGGTTTCGAGTAAGCATTTTCGATTTTTTTAATGATTCCGCTTTATTCTCTCGTATCCACATGCACATGCTAAAATCAAAAAGACGTACGAAGATATGCAGATGGAACACATCTGTTCTTGAGCAGCATCATCTTTTTGTTGTTTTTTTTGCTTCAATTTTATCTCGTTTTTGTTTCTTCTGCACTTCTGCAAATGCATCAACCAGGTGGACGAGTACATTTGGTCTGTGGGTCTGGTATTAACCGGTTTCCTATAATAATAGTTTTGCGTAATCGTTCAGATGAAGTTACCACTTTCGATTATACATTTCTATTTAGGTTATTTTCAATCTCTCCCACCATTTCCAATTTTCCGAATTTCATAACCTCTCCGATTCTCATTACCTGTGGGAGAATTACCCACTTCCCTCTATTTTTGTCATATTTTCAGATAATAATCTTTGGGAAAAACACTTTTTTATGAGAGTATTTCTTTTTTTTTAATGGTCGCTCTCACTTTCCTCTTTGTTTTCTCTGTCTTGAACACCTTTTCATATTATATCTATTCTCCTCTCTTCCTCATTACGGTATGAACCTGAAGCGACCTTAATTACTGCTCGATTGTTTCATTGCCAATTAACGGATTTTATGGCAGATGCAAGCCGTCCGTTGCATCGAAAACACTTTTGTCGGTAGGCGATTATTACCGGCTAACCTGTAACTAAATGGGGATCTCGTTCTCTCTTTATCTCATTTCCACCTGCTTCAATGGAACAAAAAGACCATTTGATGGAGCTCATTGGCAAGCTTGATAGGATATTTTGTTCATCATTTAAAAATGAATTAGGTTGATATTTGTTGATTGAGAAATCAGAAGGAATTTTACCATCTTTCTGCATACTTGTTGCGGACCGTGCCGGGCTTCTTCCAATATTTTCGAGGCCCGACAGACCCTTCATTTTACAAGTGTGGAAAATTGTGAAAAACATAAAAGGGGGCCCTTATGTGATTTTCAGATCAAGATTTTTTTTCGAGTTTTTAAAGGTTTTTTCCTATCAAACAGACAAAAAAACCTAAGGGGAAAAAATTTAATTAAGAGCTCCAAATATGGCTTAAAATACAGGATTTTGGATATTGGGCCCGGGTCTTAATAATTTCTTCAGGCCCGGGGGTTTGACAGGCAGGCCCGAAATTTTCACAAGTATGTCTTACTGTATATTTTTTGATTTTTCGAAAAATCTTTCATTCGAAAAACCTTTCAAAAAGCATAATCCTACTTCAAGCCAGACAATCATCATTTCCGAAAGAAATATCAATTTCACTTTTAATTTCTGTGCACTTTTCAAACACTTCGAGAATGAAGTTTTTTCAAAAAATCATTTTCGAGAAGTCAACTTACAGACTGGTTCTCGATCATAGTTTTAAAATATTTCCTTCAAGTTCCTGGTAGGACCCAATAAAACTTTTTCCCGTAAATCTCTCTCCCGTTGAAAAGGATCGGGTTTTTGACCTACTGATCCGTGGGCTTTATTGGTTCCGTCACCCCCCCCCCCCCGCTCCCATTTCCGAAGACGCCCCCACTAAAATAAAATTTCAAGCTTGAGGGGGCATCATGAAAAAACCCCCCCGGGCATCATGAAAACAATGAATAAGTTTAATTGAGACCACAGATGTTCTTGGCGATGTTTCTTCTTCTTCGTCATGCCACGCCCCGAAAGATTCTCATATATATTTTTGCTCTCTGTGTTGTGTGTTGTTGTGTGTACCATGGATAGACGCGCTGGGGACGAAGAATCACATTTGCTTCCCGTTTCCCAATAAATTTTTAGCGGAAGCATCTGTACTTGAGTACTACCCATCGCTCTCTTTTCTAAATCTCGCTGGACGCTGGAAACCATGTGATTCAGTTTGAAACCACGTGGCTTTTTTTCTGTTACTATCGTATTCTGTTTACTTTCCCTTCTTTTCGATTTCCTATCTTCTGGTTCCATCTCCTCCGACCGACCCTTTTTCATCATACGGTTGCTCTTTTAATTTCCCTAAGAGCGAGAACCGTGGAGATAAAAAAGAGCCACTTCCTGCGGCAGCGAGGCGCAACCACGCTTTATTGCTACTAAAAGTGTGTTCTTTTGCCCTCCAGTACGCTACTAGTGTCTTCTTTTGCGTTCCAGTAAACCGCAAAACTCTCGCCGATCTCCCAGGTTCGTTTTTATCTGTTCTCACGGTCTCCAAACGTGTTTCCGTTGTTATTTTCGTCTTCTCCCATTTTTCTTTTTTTCATGAGTTCGATTTTTGAAACCCTAGGCAAGTCCAGACGCCACGCGTCTCAAGCACCTTTACTATGGTAAATTTCATGAATACTTCCAGATCAGCTGGAGACTCTTTCCGCATTTCGCGGTCGCATACACCTAGAGAGCTCATTGTTCATATGAAGTCTAGATTCAAATTCAATTGAATACCGTAATCTTCATAGGTGACCGAATTTAAACAAAAGTTTTATACATATTAATGGGGTGGTAATGCAATTGATTAAATAGTCAACTTGGAATTTCTTATCAGTTTTTTTTGCTGATAATGAATGCCAGGCAAACAGTATACATTAGGCAGTATTAGTATTCTTACCAGCACTTGAGTTTGAATTCGTATGCCGTTTGATTTTCTTGGGAGTTCGTTTCAGAGAAGTGCATACTGTATACAACTTTTTTTTTGCGTTCAGTGTAACGGAATAGGTCCTATGTCTTTTTTGCTAAATTCAAATTCAAAAAATTCGTTCAAAAACGGTTGAAACTTCAAGCTATCGCATTTTTTTCAAAAGCAATATTTGAGAAAAACAGGGGCTTGTTTTACTTAATTTAAAAATACAAATTCCGTTTTCCTGAGCCAAAATAGCTTTTAAAAAGGTACAAAAGACATAGATGTTATCCATGAAATAATCCCTTTCTAATATTCTATTTTGGGAAAATTTCATAGTTTAAAATCATCTCACGAGTCTTATCACGTGGTACAGTAACCACTCTCTCCGTTTCTTTTTTTTGCTTTGTTGCCATTCTCTCCCATCGAGTTTCGAAAAAGGGTTTTCTAGAAACCCTGATTCATAAATAGTGCGAAAATGAAAAAAAGATTGAAAGTCAGACGGTTGCGATCCGTAATAATGGATGATATTGGACTGGTGCAGCTCTCCCCTGACACATTCCATTTCATGAGTTATAAATTGGCACAAAAAAGTCCTAAAAGCACAAACATTTTTTTTCGAGAATTTTTTGAATAGTTTGCAGCTGGCGCAGTTTCACAATAGACGCAACATAAAAAACTGGTAGGATTTCCAATTGCGCTAAAAGTGCACGTCACTATCCTTACGTGTGAGTCATGAATAAGTTTATAAAGGCGTTCTGTTAGATCCTCGAAATAGATTCGTTTGTTTTTTGAAGTTCCTGTTTGTTTTAGACTTTTCCTGCACTTCCTCGGGATAGAAAATCTCTGATCTCATCTTGACATCGATACCTTTTACTATACATTCTTTTTTCTAATGTGCTCTCGTCGCAACTCGAATCGCATTGTCTCCGTTATGTCTGTCGTTTGCTTCTTCTCCTTCTTTTTCTTCTTCTCATATCTTCTCTTGTAAATTTATGAGGTACTCATCAATTGCACCTCTGACTGATGATCATCGAACTAATCATGCGAGAGATAGATTGAATATTCGTTGGCGGTCTCTCCTCTTGAGCAACCTGACAAAACAACTGTGAGGTACTACGGTGAGCTCAAGCGCGGAAGCAAGAAGAAGAAGAAGATCAGCGGCACGATTGCGGCATATCCCATCGCAGAAGCAGGAAGAAACGTGGATGGCAGCCGTAGCGGCTGCCGGACGACTGCTATTTCAACTGAGACGATAAAAAGTGATCGGCTGAAGCGAAACCATGGGGGGGATGCAAGAAAACGGCGGGGATGCCACTGATCAAAGATTTTTGAGCATATGCCTGTTTGCCCCTACACCTATCTTCATGCGTTTTTCCACGCCACCACTATTTTTTGCCTTCAGGTTTACTGCTGTTGTTTTCTTTTGTGACGTTCTCCAGTTGTTTTTTGTTCCCCTCCGGATTCCGATTCTTACTCTTTTTTTTCTCATGATTCATCAACATATCCACAGCTGTACGGGTGTTTCTCCATCTGTTTACAAACGAGGAACGTCACACATTTTTCTTTCTTTTTTTTTTGCTATCTTGTTTATTTTGTACTTTTGAGAGTACTTTTATATCTTCTTAAGAACTCCAATTTATTTTTTTCAGAAAATATGGAGATGTTAAACCAATCCATATCAGTTCCCACAATCAGCAACACAGATATGAACTCCATCGGCAGCTACATAAAAGTTAGTGGGGGAATTCCTATTTATTTTCGTTCAACAAAAAAACGAACGCGTCCAGATGGCCTGAAAGCCAATTAAATAGAAGCTCTTTAGTCGCACGAGAAAAAAGTGCAAGAATTATTTGTCGTAAAACTACTGAACCACCGGGAAAATAATACTAGCTGTGAACTTTTTCTACATTGTTTAGGGAGTTGCTTTCCAGACGTTTGCTAATGTCTCAGGAAAACAAATTTTGAAGAAAACTTCACGGATTAAAAACAGCCTATCCAGACATTTCTGAATCTGCGCGCCTGTTTCAGCCGAGTTATATTAGTTCCAGTACCAAAAAATGCGTTATTAGTGCAAAATAGTAATGTCCACGACCATTCTCACAGTTTTGAGAACGCTTCAGAACAGACAATCCGCTTTATTAATGAATTTTGTTTTTTTACATGCTTAATTTTCTAATAAATGTCTCATCGTGAGAAAATTCAAAAAGATCCGATGTATTAAACGTGATTAAAGGAGGCCAGACACCAAAAAAAAAAAAGATTTCCTGATAATCTGCATAGAGAACCCCCATGAGGGGTTGAACTCATGACAGGCAGCTCAGGGGTACAGCGCCGCTACCGGCTGAGCTACGGGGGCGCGAAGGCGCCTGACGATCGATGGTCTACATAAGCGCGGCGCGATTTCGTCCCCCGAACTGTCCCCCGAAATTTTTTGCTGTCTCGCCTCCTTTAAGTTTTGAGTATAACACAACACATTTCATTTTTTGAAATGTTCTGAAAGTGTAGAAAAATTGTCTGAAAATGTTTCACAGAAGCGATTTTTGGTACTGATAATTGGCTAAAACTGGCAAGCGCATTCTATGATTTTCAAAATTATTTGAATAGGCTGTTAATAACGTCTCCTGAATTTCATTACTAATTCGGGTTTACACCGTGCTGTGGTTCCCCTGTAAAAATAACTGTACTTCAAGAATTACGGTAGTAAACCATCTTAAAGAAGCATCAGTTAGATTTTTAAACGAATCACTAAAACTTTCTCAATTTTTCTAGGTTTTTGTGACCTTGGTCAGGTGCACTCTAAAAAAATAGACCCTGCTCACTTTTCGGAATTCGTGAGGAAGGTTGGGAATTCAGACTTTCAATCAGTCTGTCGAGTTTACCACAAAAAACTTTTGCTAACTTTCGGCAAGTGCTCTTTCATGGCCAGAAATTGAAGAAAAAATTTGAAAATGCTTTTAATACCTCTGGAAAGTGCAAATTGATCTCCTTGTGATTTGAAATGGTGTTTTGGTTGTCTCTAAAAATCGAGGTATTTTTAAGTCCGCTTCTTTTTTCTCTGTCTTTAGACTCATTGAATCTTTTGGCACCCAACCCATAACAACAAATTGATACTTGGTCTCAGTGTGATGGATATGGCTAGGCCACTCGCCACTCACGACTACTACAAATACACACACACTCGAATTTTTTCTTCCATACTAACTTTTTATCAGTTGTTGTTTGTTCCAGCAGCAGCAACAGCAACAGCACCATCATCAGCAACAGCCGTCTCAAATGAGTGGTCCCCATCAGCGGCCATCAAATGGAAGCAACAACTTTGAGCAGCATGCCATGATTCCGGCAACAACAGGAGGCGACCCGGCGAATCGTGTTTTCAACGATCAGGTAACCCGATAGAAAGAAAAAGATTGAGAGAGGAGGAGAGGAAATGAATGAGAAGAGATATAGTGAGCTGGAAAGTTTTGAACTGTTGTCTTTCTTTTTTGCGTCGTCTTCCTTCCCCCAATCCACTCAGTTCTCACTATTATTCTTACTTTACTTTACTTGATAAACAGCGTTCCGTTTAACTAAAGAAATTCCCATGTTTCTTGTTCCAGAAACCGGCGATTAATGGCCACTTGCTGCAGACCAATAGTCTCCAGATGCCACATCAGAGTATGATGGACACGCAACAGCCAAATCAAATGGTTTCGTACAACTTGGACTCTCGAAACACTTCGGGAGGACGTCTTCCGTCGCTCACATTGAACAATAATGGATTTACAAACAATGTTCAACTGGGTAATGGAAATGAGTGCCAAATGCAGTCACAGCAACAAATGCATCAGTATGATCATCAGAATCCACTGAATCAGAATGATGCATCAATGAATTTTGTTCCACGACCCATGGATGTTCAAATGTCTTCCAACTATGGACAGGGTGGTCAGAGCCACTACACCATGCATCAGTCTGGAATGATGAGTGACTCACAATCGTCATCCAATCAGATCAACCAATCGAAATTCCAACCCGGTCTTCCAACAGGGAGCCAAATGATCTCATCCTTCCAAGTCAATCAACCTCAAGAGCAAGTATCTCATCTGAGCCATATGGACCAGGCGCAGCCACCACCCACTCAGCATTCCATGAACTCGGTAGGCGTTTTGTTGTTTTTTACTTTTTTTCTGTCGGTTGAGGTCATCATTTCACAACTTATTTTCGGGAATTGCAGATTCCCCAATCTCAACAACACCAGCTCGGTCAAATGAGCTGCAATTCTAGTCAGATGGGGGTATCTGGCCAATCTCCAAACATTAGCTCAAATTCCATGATATCCATCCCCAACTCTTCAACACACAATAGTTCCCAATCCACATCAATGCTGAGTGCACCTAATGCCCCTATATATTTGAACAATTCTTTGCCTAACAGTAACCCTTCTAATAACATCCAAGAGGTTAATGTCACTACAGTAACTCCTCCTAAGGCCAACGAGGTAAGGATACCAAATATCCCATCCGCACGCCGAAGATTTTCTGTTCATCAGATATTAATCATGCAAGAGCCTCGCCTAAAGCAGTACGGATCTCTGAATGACATGTCGACCAACGAGCTCAGAGCTGAAAGCAAATTGAGAGCAATCTCCTCTACAGGTATATCATCTTCATTTTAAATTTCACTAACTTCAAGCTCTAGGAAATAAATCTAAATTGTGCGGTCGTTTGGAACCATTCGAGGCCGAAATTCTCGCCGCAAAAAATTCATTCATGTTGGAGGATTACAATACAAAACGGCAACTGTATGAAACTCAATCGGCCACCCTGAAAGACTTCCAAGAAAAGAAAGCTCAAACTCAAGCTCAAAAGTAGGTCACACACACTTTTTTCAATTCTCTCACTTAACAACAACTGTCGTATTGTTTCTGATCAGCTGCGAAGTGATCAGTTTGACGTCACAGGGGGTCCATTCCACCCTCGCAAATAAGCATGAGAACAGAAAGGTCTAAAATCAAAATTGTTTCAGCAGAAGCGCGGCGGCTCGGGCTAAGCTCATTCGCGCATCCGTAGATGGACAGCCTCCAGAGAAGAAGAAGAGACCTTCAAGACCACGCAAACCTGCTCATCCACGTGGCCAAAAGGTTAGTTTTTTTTTTTTATAAACTTTTTCTCGGGTTATTTTTGATTCTTCCAAAACACATTGGTTTCTATTTGAGTGTAGTGTGATATTTTGCGTTATCACCCCATCATCTTCTTATCACCAGAAGCAAATCTTTGGCTTCTGTGTATTCGAGTTGTCAACACTTCCGCCAAGTATCCTGAACCTATAAATCACCGGTGGCCTCTGGCCATTGCCGTCGCAAGAGCTTTTTGATCCATATATCCGTTTTTCTTGAAACTACTTATTTTTCATCGCTCTATCTTCTTCTTTTTTCCATTTACTTCTATCTCTAGTTGTGATTTGCTTCCTCCTTGAAAGCAGATTGGCATGTCATCGAGTTGACTTGTCATTTATCAATCAACATTGTGTTCTCAAACTTATGTCCTGGGAAAAAGATACGAAAGGGAAAGGGAAAGAGAACACCCAGTTATCAAGGCTTCAGAAAACAACAAAAATTCCGTCTTGCAAAACGAAAACGCATTGTTGAAAGCGTGTTGTCCGGAATTCCGACAACAGTTGTTACTTGTGAAAACTGAGAAGGAATGTGAGAATGAAGACAGGGAAATGGGCAAAGTTTTTTCAGGGTGCTGAAGCTGTTCAGGAGGTTCCAGAAAGCGTTACCGAAGTTATCAATTCTTTGCCAGTAGAGTGCTCCAGCGTTCCAACTAACGCTGATGCTCTCCTTGGACGCAACAATGAGTAAGAAGCAAGGGGCAAAGAAACTTAAAAACAGGAAGCTCTGAATTCCAGACAATCCGCAACTGTCAGCTATACGGTCACTCAAGAAATTCAGCAATCCCAACAGGTTCCAAACTCAATGCACGTTTTCGGGAATGTCTCTCAAAACAATGGCTCAGGATTTTTTATCAAGGATGATAGCTGCTTTTCACATTTAGGATCTGGGTGCAGGGTGAGAAAATGCGAAGCTATCGAGAGACGCTAATTTATGGTTTACAGGTTATTTCCCAATCTCCACCCGAAGACCCACAGATATCGTCCGGAGCAGGAAGCAGTATCACTAGAACATTCCAGACTGTTGTTCCACCACCACCACAACCACACCCAGTGTCACAGTCTCCACCACAACCACAGATACAGTCACAGCAATCAGGAAATCCCCAGATGCAACGTTTCCAACAACCAGACCATCAACAACAAATTTATGGGATGGCTGAGCAGCAGCAGATCTCACAAGACCAAATTCAAATTCAAAATCACAATTCAAACCACAACCATGATTCTCTAAGCCAACCACAATCTCAACCACAGTCTCGGCAAAACTCTCAACCGCAATCGATTCAATCTCAATCTCGTCCAATGAGTCTCAATAACCGTGAGCATCCCAGAAGATAATTATCGATTTATAAAAGAGCGATTTCCAGAGCAGCTCCTTGGCAATCAGAACAACATGAACCAACCAATGCCAAATATGTTCAATAACATTCCAACTCCAGTTTCCATGCAGCAACAAATGCAGCAACCAATGCAACAGCAAATCTTTACTCCAAATCATCAACCCGTCCTAATTGCATCCGCAGAAACTGGGTGGGTCGGAATGTACCCGTCACCAGGGCCACCGGATGACTTTTTCATTTACGATAAATATAATCAGTTCTATCCTAACCCCAAGTACAGTAACCAATACACTTACTAAACTGGAGTGATTTTGTGTGTATTTTCAAATGACAACTGTTTGTGTGGATTTATCTCTCTAATTTGTCTTGAATCTCATTGTTCTTACAAACGGTCTATGTTGTTTGCTTCACCCTAGTAATGTTTCTAATGATAATTTTCACCCATTCTTTTTCTCTCCCAGTTTTTTGGTGTAAACTATAAACCTTTTATTTGGAATTATTGTTTGAGTGTGCGGTGTTAAGTTTAATGTTATGACAGTTTGTCATGAAAAGACATTTTCAGGTTACAAGCGAGTCCTTGTGTTGCTGACCAGGCGGGTCCTTCGCCAAACATGCCAGTCAGCGACCCAACTGCTACCACTTCCGGCAGTCCGGTTGTAATGGGTACGCTCGTCGAAAACATGGAGGCTGCTGCCGAGGCGATGGATCAAGAAACCATGCAAAAGTTGTGAGTCTTGACCCAAACAGCTGCGTCCGCGATGTTTTCTATTTTTGAATGCCAGACACATTCCACACGGCTTCCTTTGTTTATCACTAGGGCTGGAATTTCAGACTATCACCGGCGACGCTACGTGCGAGAGAGGATCTTCTCACTCAACAACAAGCCAAAATTAATGAGCTGGTCACTTTGATTCAAAAGCACCATGACACACTTCGCGAGCAGCAGCATCAGATCAACTTTGCGAAAAAGCAACAAAAAGAAAGACAAAGGCAAAATCCCACACAGCCAATTGCTCATGTTTTGGATCAACACGTCAGCAGTAGATGTCTTCAACATGCAATAAAAAGTCGTCAAAACGTTCAGACACTGAGTGTACGTTCCCATGGTTACTGTACTGTTTCTATTTACTCTGTTTACAGGACTTAACATCCCAACAAGACAGCATTCGCACTGCAGAAACCCGACTCATCGAACAATTGCATATCAACACTGCAACCGACGACATTGCACGGTTAATCAAACAAGTAGGAAACGTGACATTCCGGAAAGGAGTTATCGAAACTCTGAATTTTTGCAGGATGGTCGCACGGCACTAGTTATCGTTTCCCTCTTACATGATTACCGAACAACTCGCGAGCAGCAAACCCATCGAACTAGATCAGCATCAGTTGTGGGAGAATCTGATGATAAGAGTTCCATCCTTGGAGTGACTCCTTCCGCATCCTCTTCTTCAATTTCTTCCGCCACGCCTTCTGAGGATGCTCCGAAAAAAGTACAATAGAGAAATGGTTTTTGACCTTTCACTAATTTGAATTTTGCAGAAAGCACCGGCTAGAAAACGTAACCCCGCTGTATCAGGGAAACCAAATTCAAGTCGAAAACCAGCACAAAGAAAACGAAAACTAGAAGTGGAAGAAATTGTGCAAGTAACACAGGAAGAAATTGTTTATGAAGATGAGGATGATGAAGAAGTTGACCAGTTCTTGAAATTCGCTCAACCAGACTCCGTTTACAAATCTGATGAGCAGTCCAATGTGGATATGGAGGAGATTTTTAAAACTGTGATTGACGCTTCACGGGGTCCAATGGATGCAAAAACGGTTGAAATGTTGCTTCAAGGACCACCACAAACACCGTATGATACGGAACTAATGTCTCTTCCATCTGACAACTCATCACCAATCAGAATTCAAAGTCAAGATAGTGCACAATCGGTTTTCTCAGAAATCTCATACTCAAAGACTATGATGTATCAACAGGATAATTCTCCACAACAATACAACATTGGAACTGAAACTGAGTCTAGCTGCTCACCAGTAGAAGTTTTTGTTTCACCAAATGAGATTCTACAGCAAAAAGCGGAAGAAATGAAATCCGCAAAACCTGAGAATATCAAAATACTTTCGCAATTTGAGCAGGTCGTAATAGATCAAGACCTTGGAAGCCAACAGTACCAAGATCCAATGATGTATGACAAGTGTGAAAATCAAGGCTTCTTGAACAACGATCTAGACTTTGACTTCCCGGACATTGACCAGATGGTTGCCAGTTTCAAAGATTGTAAGAACCATTTTCAGATTGAATAAAATTTCATTTTTCCTTTTTCAGCTGAACCATTAAACGCTTCTCTGGATGACGTCGACTTAACTGCTCTTCTGAATGGTTGGAATGAAGTTCCAGGTAACCAGAATTGTGGAAGCCAGGCACAAAATGTATGATCACCTTTTTAAAATTTCAAATCATAATTTTTTTTAGATGCACAGTGTCCACGATAACATGATGTACAGCTCTAATCAAATGGTACACCATCAAGATATGAATTGGTCCAATTACTCCAATCAAACCAACATTATTAACCAAGCCTTCGAGCAATCGGAAATCTAATTATTATGTGTGTGCGTGTGCTTTAATTTTATTATTATCTCTTGTATTTAGTATAAACCTAGCTGTCTAAAACTTTGCAACCTGATAGATTCAGAATTAGATTATCATTATTAATTATTACTTATTATTGTTATCATCTTTCATCTCCCTCGCTGTCCGATGTTCCAATTGTAAAAAAACTTTCCAGAACCAAAAAAAAAACATTCAAAACCACTCCACAACCCCCCAAAAAAAAAATTGATTCCTTCGTCCACAATTCCCAACATATTCCGGTTATTTTATTGTATTCCATAGCTTATTTAGTTCCTTTTTTGTCACTGACAGCTAGAAAAAATATTTCCCCGATCTAGTTTTCCATAATACTCCACATTCCCTATTCAACACAACATTCATTGTATCCCTCTTCTATTCTGTATTCAATGCTCTGGTCCCCAGTTGTCGGGCAGATCGGAACACCATCAATCCGAAATAAAACACCTGTCATTTGCATATGAAGTTTTGTGAAGCGGAAATCCATCAAATGTCAACGACTACAACTACAAACGTCGAGATAATTGAGAGTGAACAAAGTGAGGATGTGAGAGCCGAAGGCGATTAGGAGGAGAAAAACATGTTTCTGCCTTTCCGCACTCACTCGAAAAACCCCAATTGCTGGCAAGAGGTGTAAACGTACTAGTCAAAGAAGAGCAGTCACACAGACACACACTGACGTCTCTTCAGATGGAGTGTAAATTGATGTAAATTGAGGGTTGTGTTGGTTCAGTCCCAGCTGGTGGTAGGAGCATGGGAAAAAAGACTTGACGGCGGATCTTAAGGCGAGATTAGATAGGATCGCAGAAGATTACTGTATCTAGTTTTTGCACATGAAAGGACAATGGACAATAAGTCTCAAGGAATATGAATCAGTTAAATATGTACTCGTCAGGTGACGTTCCTAATCTATCGGAACGCCCTGAAGACTGTAGAAAAAGATCCCGCCGGCTGGTCAGGTTATATGAGTAGGCGCACCAGCTGCAAGGGTCGTATTCTTGTATTCTCAATTGCCACTCACAGTCGGACTTTTATGACTCAAAGAAAAGGATATTGGAGACTGTAAAGAGAAAAAGTTTAAATTATTATAGAAAATCGAGACGTCCTTTTTTTGAAGTCTGCAGTAAAAAGAAACTGTGGACCTTAGAGCGCAACATCGTAGTAATGCAAACAAGTCAGAGTCACGTAACAGGTAAATATTAAAACTGGGTCATGAGAATTGTGCAAAACCAGTTGTTTTAGGGAAAGTTCATACCAATAAAACAGTGTGTTACGACCGAATATGGCAAATCAAGCCAAAACAAAACTTCAACTCCTGATAAGGTCATGCACATCACATTGAATTTAATGTTATTAGTTTTAACTGTACAAACAAATTCATTGTTTTACAGTTACCCTGAACTACAGTTACTCAAAATAAATGAATTCTTATTGAAAATTCAAGAAAAATGAACGGCAAACGAAGAAAAATGATCGAGGATGCGACCATATGCCTAATGAGTTGTCTATCGCCACCCATAATCTATCTTTTCCTTGCGACCTTCATCGCATACACTGCGACCAACAAAGAAACGCAGTGCGAAGAGGGAAGAAACGATAGTAAACGCAGACACACCCACAAACCCTCTTCAACTGCAGCAGACTCTCCCCTCCTTTTTTTTCCTGGCTTACCAAACAATTCAGTATTCCCAACGGTCCGAGCCTAGTACAGTTCGATAAAAATGGAACGGACACTCAGCCAAGATTCAACACCTTCTGAAGGACTCGCAACTCCAAACCCCGAAAAAACTGCCGCTGAAAATAGAGCAATTGCTGAATACGAGACAATGATTGCTGCAAGAAACGTGGAAGCTGCTGCTCACAGAATAATGAACCCAATTGTGGATGACGGTCTCAATCACTATGGGCTTCCAAGAAAAGGACCGAAAACGCCAGAAGGGACGCCACCTGAAACTCCTCCTTTGAAAACACTAGCAAAAGCGCCTGTATTCGATGATGTTTCAGATGATAGCACAGAAGCCCCACCGATAGTACCACCACCGCCAATTAATAGAAAAAGGGTAAGTATTTCCATTCTCATAAATAATAAAATAACGTCAATTCAAAACATAAATGTTTTTTTCAAATAAAAACATCCCCAAAAAAGTTTCGCAACGCGTAAACTTAATTGAAAAAATCTCTATTAAAATATCGTTGTAAAATTACTAAATTTTTTAAAAAATTTCGAACTTGAATGATTCGAATTGTTCCATGTTATGCCTACCAGCCTGTATGCCGCGGCTCCGGCGCTTCAAACGTTTAGCTGGTGCGCCGAAGGCGCTATTTGTCGTTAAGCTCCTCATTTTTTCGATACTCGTCTGAACCTTAAATGAGTATCGATTAAAAACACTAAAAAATTGAAAAATGATAATCTTAATTGTGAACAAATTTTTATTTCTAAAAATTAGACAGAGTTTTTCAAATATTTATACCCAAAAGTTTCATGGCAGGCAGATTTTTCCTCTGGGAAAAAAATTGACTCGTGCGTGAAAAAGAAAAGAGCCACAACTCCACATTGTTAATATAACAATGATGATGATTTTTTTCCTCCTGGGAAACTATGTTATTACACATCATCCCGGGTTATAAAAAAGTCGTCTTTACATTTGATTGACGTAAAATCGATGAGAGGACCCTATTTGTCTCTTTAGTCATCAAAAACCCCATTCATTAATCCTAAAATTCATTGATACAAACACTCCACAGCACTTAAAATGTGCGTTGTTCAGACTGATTTTCATAAAGAAAATTCTGATAATCAAATCTCTCAAGAAAATAATGATAATGTCAATTACTCGGTAAGTGGTTTTTTTTCAAAAATATGTTTTGCACAGAAATGTGAGTATTTTTCAAAATAATTGAGCCAATCATTTTTAGCAAGGCCCCGGAACTCCTCTAGAACCGCATCCAGATGATATTGCAGCAATGGCAGCGGAAGAGGCTCAGAGAAACGCCGCACTTCGGATACCAATCAGTGAAGGAGAGCTCAGTGGAGATGATTCGGTACGAAAAATTGTAATTTTTGAGATATAAAAAAAACTTTCAGGATTCAACAATACAACCGGCAACAACAGCGTCTGGAAAACCGATTCATAAGAAGCGGAGGTGAGTGAATTTCCGAGACTTTTGCATTAAGGAAAAAAAGCAAGGAGTTACTGTTAAAACTTGACGAATTTTAAAACGTTTCAAATTTTCATAAAATTCTCCTGTTTTGATGTCAAAAAAAAGCTAAATTAAAAAATAGAAAATTTTCTTAAATTAGGCTTCTAAAATAGTTTGGATATTGCCCAGTTGCCGTTTCAAAATTTTTTTAGAAAGAAGGTAAAGATTAAGCCTATGAAAACATAAAGTTCAAAGCTAATTTAGATGACTCGGCGGGAAAAAATTAGCCCTTTTGCTATGAATCACGTTATGAATGAGTCAACATTTTCATCAGATTTTCCACATTTTTGAATTCATTTTGAAAAATTTTCTATAATCCACATATTCGAGTTTAGAGTGTCTAGAATGCTCACAAATATGGCCGAGATTGAACGGTAAGAAACATTTGTCAGCAAAATCATTCCTTACTCCCAAAAAATCAATCCAAACAAGCCACCACTTCTGACTCTCCGTGACTACAAATTGACTCGTGATAGTCTGGGCGCGAAAGTTAATATTTTGAATATCTAACTTCTCTTACATTAGTATTATTTCGAAAAAGGTTCATTTTCCCGCAAAAGATTTTGAAGTGTCATCTTTCTTTGTTGTTGCGGTTCTTATTTCCAAAATATGTTTTTTATCTATCGAAAAAGAAAAACACATCATGACTGATTAGCTATTCTTGTTCGTCCATGGAAAAAATTTCCATTCCCTCCCGAAAACCACGCATCCGTTCCTTTTGTCATCTCAACTAAAAAGAAGTGTTCTTCTATTTCTAGAGACTCCAAAACGTCTGAACATATTAGCATCACTAAAAGTTTTTCTTAACGGACAAGATAAGTGACACTTTCAACTTTTAACATGTCCCTTTCACTTATCACCGATTAAACTTTTGTTGACAGTGGTTGCAACAACTTTGACCCGGCGCGCAAAATAGTCGTGAAGAACAAACCGCGAGTTTTACAGTAAATTGTGTAACAGATTCCATTGTTCTTTTAGTAATCATTGAGATCAATTTACAAATTTTCTGTTGTTCTGAACATTGAAATCCAGCATCCCTTTTTTGTAACCACTCGCCGACGGCATTCAATGGTTTAGTAGTTAACTATTCAACTTTTTTTTGGAATGTGAATGTCAGGTGACGCCATATTTTTATTGTTCCTAGAATTCAATGATGGTGTTGTGGCCTTTCATGTCTGATCTGTACTTTCGTTTTGGTGTGTTTCATCTTTAGGTTTCCGCCTCCGAATCATGTATTTCTTCTTAGCTTTGATCTTATTGATTTCAAGTCTATTTAGATCAATTGTCTCTACATGGCCTATTAGAAATTAATGCATTTAACTTTTCTAGCTCTTAACAAGCTATAATCTTATCTTTTTGCTATAATTCGTTTTCCCTTAAAAAGAAAAACGCAGTTAGGTTCATCTCACTTCAATACATAAATTACCAAGAAAAAGCGTGTTGAAAAAAAAGACGGGTCCCGATTATCGTCTGACAACAAACTGGGAAGAGGCCTCCCTGTCCAACACACCCCTCCTTTTCCGTTTTTCTCAATTTTTCGGGGCGACAATTTTCGGAGCAACGTTACTTTGCATACTCCTGAATATATTAGTCGTAGTTGCTTTTGTGGCGGGGTCCCGGAGCCGCCGCCACTGCCGAAAGGGACTATTTCTCGGGAGCAAAAGTTTGGAAGGCAGGTGCGGTTGCTGCGGTAGATCAAGTTTCAAGAAAAGAGATAGAATGTGGGGCCGGCATCCACGAGTTCATCCCGGAAAGCCTTTCATCATCTTTCGAGTATTCAGTTGCCGAAAGGACCTGCTTCTTGCCCTTTGAATATGTCGCTGGGATGTGGACTCTTGTCACTTGATATTTTGTTATTTAGGATGCTTCTCTCGGAAGTACACTTCTCAATTCCACTACACAGGAGAGTGTTGTATTTTTTTTCCCGTCATCTTTCCCTTCCAAAAAATTTCCCAGCTTCTTATCGCTCGTTTTCTGTGCTCTTGCACAATGCGCTCATGACGTAAAACCAAAAGTTCAGTGGGATGACCCCCGCACAGTTTTTTTTTCCCTTTCGTTTATAATTGTCTTCTCTCTCTCCCTCTCTCTCTCTCTCTCCCTCTCTCTCTCTCTCTCTCTCTCTCTCTCTCCCTCTCTCTCTCTCTCTCTCTCTCTCTCTCTCTCTCTCTTTCTCTCTCTCTTTCTTTTTATCTCTATTCCTCTCAGAGAGATTATTACCCAATTTCACTGTTCGATGATAAATAACAGAGGTATGAAATTCCAAAAGCATTCGAATCATACTACAGATGACTATATAGTTTTTTTCCAATTTTTTCACAAAATTGATGGTCGAATCAATCATATCTCTTGTTATCTTAAAGGAAAAACGAGTACACCGTGTAGAAAAAAAAGTGATGGGTGGCCTTCAAAACTATCCGTTTTTTTCCAGGTTTTCATTTTCCCTTAAATTAGTTTTATATTCTTTTCTAGAATTTTCGATTTCAGTTTTCGAATCTTTCGATCCCTCTTTCTGAAAAATGCTCCGACAAAAAAACTAAAAAATAGAGAAACCGACATAACAAAAATTTTGTTTGTTACCAGTCGTCCCGTCTGAGCCGGATCCGTTTTTGGAAAAAAAAGATGTTCCAGATGCCTTAAAAAGGGTTGTTTGTAAATATAATATTTTTCGGGAGAGACACAACGAGAAGGATACATCTCGATCAACCTACGAATTCAAAGTAGCTTGCTCATCCCGTCCCTCTGACAATAACAAGTGTCATGTTCGAGACGAAAGAAGTTTACTGCGAGAAATGAATTATTGCCTGAAACTTTTATCGTCATCATCGACTCTCGATTCAATCGTTTTTGTTCTTTTTTCTCTTCCGCAGCCTCCGATCACTTCCCCGTCATTTTTTTGCCTCATGGAAAAACCTTCGAATCTGCACGTCAGCACAGCAGCAGCTCCTCACAGCTCTTTTCTTACAACAGTTTGATGAGTTCGATGCCCCCGGTAGGTAGGAAGGGAAGAGAGGGTAAAAGATAAAGAGCAATTTTTGTGGCGATGGTGGCTTCTCATCATTTTTCGCTTCTTTTTTCTCTCGTTTTCTTTCGCCTTTCCACCTGTGGCACAGCTATCTTTAACAGCACATAAAGCACACTGCACAGTGTACTCCGGAGGTCTCAGTACCTCCTAGTGAAGATCTCTCTTTTCCTTCTTGTTATGATCTTAGTGTAAACCTTTAATTAGCTCTTTTTGATTGATTTGTGCAGGTCCATAAAGCACCCCTTCTTTCAAAAAGGTCTTTTTTTTATTCTGTATCTTAGGCTCACATCACCTTTATAAATGTTTAATGGACCACCCAGTAACCCTTTCTACGCACATGTGGGGATTAGTTTTTGGCATATAAATATTTTACAAGCGCTTTTGATGAATATGGCCATTTTGAATTCGATACTTTTCATTGGCCTAAATATTTAAGAATTCGTATGTCTATACTCAGAAACTTTGAAGAAATTAACAGAGCATGTAGTTTTTCATTTGGATCTTGTTTATATAATGTAAAAGAACATGAAAGCCGGAAGTTCTTGTCAATGCTCGGTTGAGACGGAAATATATATCCAGCCCAATCTTCAGAAAACATAGAATGAACTCCGGAAACTTGTCAGCTTTTTTCTGCTTTCCGGCAGTCAAAGCAATGTTTGCAGGTCAAATCTGCTTGCCGATTACGGTAACTATGTGTGTTCCAAATATGTACACAACCAGTTTATCATTCTCCTCTTCTTCTTTTTCTCCTTCTTATTCTTCTTCAACCCACAAACCCAAACTTCTCCTATACTCCAAATCCCCGGTGCTCCTTTTACTTATTCTTTTTCTTCTTCTGTTTTCTTATTCTTCTTATGCTTCACTCCCGAAGAAGCTCCCGCCCTCTTTCCTCCACTCGAAGGAAGATGTTTTCCTTTGCGCACAGAACTCCTCGTACTCTGACCTCTCCTTCCTGTGTGCATAGAGTCTTCGAAGAAAGGATTTCTGGGGTGAAAAAAATTTGAAGGTCCTCTTTATATCGGATTAGAGTGTCAGGCTTTACTTTTTTACGCCACTCTATAAAATATCAGTACAATTCTCAATTAGGTAATGGCAGTACTTCTATCCTTCATTCTTCTCTTCTCATTTTCACCTTTCTGCTTTTATGGCTGTTGACATAGGGTGATTAATGAGATGAACGAACTGTGTCTTTATCATGTCTAGATTTCCAATTTCCATCTTTTTCCAAAAGGCTATTTCAGTTTCGATGACACTTCATCGTTTCATCTTTTTCCGCCGTGTGTCGTTTCACGGCTACTGTCCACTCGCTCTATCATCAATTTTTCCCCAAAATTTCCCTCTCACTCTCGCGTATGTTTCACACAATCCTCTTTGTTTCAGGCATCGTACATCGCCTGGAAAAACGTCCCATATTTCGCCAACCAAACTTCGGAACACTTTATACTCGCCGCTTCGTGCCCTTCACAGGTTTGTTTAATTATTACGGTAGCTATCTTTCTGCCGACAAAGGTTCTTGCAAACGTTTTTTTGGTTAGGGTTGATCGTTTGATTAATTGGTCTGATGTCACCGGAGAGTAGCACTTTACAGTGTCACATGCGTTTTAACACATACACTCACTTCACACAGAAATTTCGCGCCTATAATCACATTTGCAGACAACATGTTAATGTTCAACCTCGTAAACGTCGTAGTTCCGAAGAAAGAAAGCCAGTGCCGAAGGTTGACAATTCAAAGGAGCTGACGTTCCCGGCACTTGCTAAGCAGAAATGTCTTCAACTTCTGGAATTCACCGAAAAAAAGGTTAGTGTTGTTGTTTGTTGGGCATGCAAGTTGGTGGTGATAGATCGAGAGGGAGGGGGAAGTGCTACTCGGTGCCTGTTCCGGAAATGCCAAAGCCAAGAGGGTTCCATCGAGCTGTTCGGGAAGCTTATCAATCACAGACTGCTCTTGCTTGACTTTTTTCTCTATTTTCGTTTGCATCCACATCTCGTTGGATAAACGATTCATTTCTCAATGCCAGTATTATTCCCGAGCTCTCACCAAGGAGACTCAAAGAGTATCTGGAATTATCTAATTCATTTCAGTTTATCCGGTTGAATTTTCTCCCATTCTCTTGTAGCCTGATAGAAATTCTCACGAAAAAAGCGCACTTTTCTCTCGAATATCATTTTTCTTCGAAACTTTCTCTTTTCTACATCCCTCATGTTGCCTCAACCCTTCAACTCACACGTCAGTGGCGGCCAAAAAGAATAAAAAAACGACGATGCATTCTTTCAAGCTTTTATTGGATTTTTCAAGTTCACTTTACGTCTACTAGTAAATCATAAGAAAATTGCGTGTGGTTTGATGGTGTTGGAGGCACCCCCTCAATTTACTTTGGGTTTCGAGCTGAAGCTCTGAATGCTGCTATTTTCGCTAAAAGCTTTTGAAAATTTCGAAAGCTGAACCTGACCTGTCACATCAAGAAACCCAGAATTTTGATCCTTTAGAGAAAAAAAATCCCCAGAAAAAAACAAAGTCAGTTGTTCCGGCCAGCAGAAGAAACCTAAGAGCCCCCAAAAACACATACACAAACATTCGAAGACCCTAGAAAATCGGTAGATCATCTCTCTGGTTATGGTATTAGTGACAAGAAGTAGGGAGCGTCTTGGAGAGTCCCGCGCTCCTCGTTTGCTTGTTCGCTCATCACCTTTGCGAAAAGTCAAGAGCTATTGCAAACATACAGAAGCGGCTCAATTGTGAGACTTGCGAGAACAAATTGTACTCTCCTAATTGTTCTAGAGCAACTGGGTACGTTCACTGTTGATCGTAAGAGAGAGAGAGAGAGAGAGAGAGAGAGAGAGAGAGAGAGAGAGAGAGAGAGAGAGAGAGA